TGCTGTCCATTATGCTAGACGAAATGGCAATCAAACCACCCCATATTCCCCAATGGTTCAACCTCGGTTTCCAATCCTAGACCTGGTTTTACAGTTAGCTTACCTGGTGTGCTAAATATATATACTTGAGGAACGCGTTACGTTACACAGTGCTTACCGCCTTGATCACCAATCGTTTGTCATGCTAGGGTGGTACGTCTTTTGGTGTTTATCATCTTGGGGTCAATACCGTGCTTTTTCTGACCTACGGCAATATGTCGAAAGTTACCAGTGAACCAGCACGAGATTTGAAGACCAAAACAGGCGTTCAGTGAGCACACGCAGTTGTCCGTGCGAAAATTCCCGCTAGAAAATAAAGTTAGGTGTCTGTATTAAACGATTGGGAACTTATTACAGTAGGAGATAGCAAGTTGAACAACATCCTATTACTTCTCATAAACGAAGTTCGAGGGGAATTCTTCCTGGGAGACAAACCGTGTCTTCGGAAGTCTGGGAGAATGCATATGTGGTCTTTGTAATTCCGCTTTAAATAAAATGAGTCAAGAAGTTTTCTCTGTTACACCATGGCTAACATTTTTCACCGATTTTGATCAAAAGTCTAGTCTGTTGACAATATACTGGATGCCACCAGTTCCATCTGTTTATGTTTTCAGCACTAATTCGAAATTTCTGCACAGTCACCCGCCCTATGCGTAATCGGTTTTGACTTGAGCAAGTGCAAAATTCTATACAGGCTAATCCCATCTAAGTGTACAGATGATCACAATCCAGGATGTGGAATGACTTTTCTTTAGTAATCTAGTAGGTCTTATCACACTGGTTAAATGTGCGGACGTTTCACCGTCGAATTCCAAAGCACATTCGCGATTCCTCGCTTCAGTCCATCCACAGTGTTCAAGGCTGTGTTGGCTAATTACGAGTATATATGTTTTGAATAGCTCCTCGCCCGCATCTATGTGAAGAGAGTTTGGCAAGCAAAAGTCTGAGTCCAACTCATTGGTCTGTTGGATCAGGCAGTACCGATGGAGACAATGCGAGCGCTAGCTGTCTTTTCATTATTGTTCGATATCTTCAGAAAAAAACAGCTGGCCGTTTATCTTCTCTATGTGAAAGTGGATCTGAATTATGCTGTCTGGTTGAAGCGCCTACCAAACACAAAAGAAATCGCAAATAATATAGGCTGATATAACATAAGATAACATACTATACAGGATATAATAGAAGATAAGAATTTACTTTAACTTTTCTGTTCAGTACTGACAGCAAACCTAGCCATCTAGACAATCCATATGGCGCTTTTTTCTAGCCATATCATATGACTATTAGCGTTTCATGTGGATGCTGGCTAGAAGTGGGGTTTCTCTGGTGTTTCTGTAGTTTGGAACAGAAATACTCGCTGGAGACTTCTGAGGCTCTGTTACAGGTAAAGTGACCTCTTCCACACTTGAGGCTTTCCGGTAAAGTACGAATTTCGGCTATGGGTGCTTAGCACTATTCTAGATATTTCTCTTGGTTTTCTCCACACCTCACCCAAAAGAGATTACAAGAAAACTGTTTACAAGTATTCCCTATCAGTCAAGTTCTGTTGAAATGATTGTCTGCGCTTCATAAACAAGATCGATCCAGGAGCTGAATGTGTCGACGAATATCCCAACGTTAGATCGAACTGTTCCGACGGTTTTTCTAGTCCGAACGACATCGAAAATCTTAGGAATAATAGATCGTCGGCAACAGCATTTCTTCAGTTGTACTAACGCAGCGATCGCTACACCCTCTAGTACAACCAGGTTACCGCGTCCGTCCAATAACCTGTAAAACACCACTACTGTGTCAGTTCAAACAGTATTCAGTAACTGTCTTATTGTAAATATTGCTTAGTACTATTCTACAAAAAACATGAGGTAATCAATGACATCCCAACTAGAGACACTGATCGTTCTCAGTTAAAGTGCAGCGGTAAACGTGAACTTCAGTTAAAGCGTCATCTAAATGTGAGATAATGAGTAACTCGGTCGGTGAATCCACGAAACCCTTGGATTGGAAATTGCAACTGATGATAATCAGAAAAAAATTCCTTTGAACATTCTGAGCTACTGTGGCTGAAATGGATGTACTTTTGTTCATGAGTCGTAGCTGAAAAACTGGAACTAAAAGGGAGATACCTTGTACGTTGCCGAGGGTTTTGATTTCTAATGTGGTTCAGTATTGAATTATAGCTTGTTTATGGAAAATTCATCCCCGCCTGTTTTAATCAAAGTTGACTGCAGGCAAAAGGCCAGACAACTCCGCCCATCAGAACTGAAACTCCTCAACTTACCTCCTAAATATAATATAATGCTCCCAAAAATTTAGTATCTTTTTGGATCATTACCAATGTTGGATCTTCTTCACACACCCCCCCCCCAAAAAAAATAACCTGTAAAACACCACTACTGTGTCAGTTCAAACAGTATTCAGTAACTGTCTTATTGTAAATATTGCTTAGTACTATTCTACAAAAAACATGAGGTAATCAATGACATCCCAACTAGAGACACTGATCGTTCTCAGTTAAAGTGCAGCGGTAAACGTGAACTTCAGTTAAAGCGTCATCTAAATGTGAGATAATGAGTAACTCGGTCGGTGAATCCACGAAACCCTTGGATTGGAAATTGCAACTGATGATAATCAGAAAAAATTCCTTTGAACATTCTGAGCTACTGTGGCTGAAATGGATGTACTTTTGTTCATGAGTCGTAGCTGAAAAACTGGAACTAAAAGGGAGATACCTTGTACGTTGCCGAGGGTTTTGATTTCTAATGTGGTTCAGTATTGAATTATAGCTTGTTTATGGAAAATTCATCCCCGCCTGTTTTAATCAAAGTTGACTGCAGGCAAAAGGCCAGACAACTCCGCCCATCAGAACTGAAACTCCTCAACTTACCTCCTAAATATAATATAATGCTCCCAAAAATTTAGTATCTTTTTGGATCATTACCAATGTTGGATCTTCTTCACACACCCCCCCAAAAAAAAATCATTTGGTTAAGATTTATCTTCATGGATTTGCAGACCAACATTTTCACCTTCCTGCATTCCGGTTAAAATTTACCCTGGTTTGTCCGTTTTAACGGAACAAGTCAGTGGCAGCAACAATGTCTTTCGGAAGATCACTATGTGAGCACGAAATGACACGTTTTCAAGAATCATATGGAACGGTATCTTGTTATCACGTCGTGGTCACCACAGTATCGGTAGTGGACATCAACGTCAAAGCTACTTCAACGAAAATTTCAGAATAATGTGAACAAAACAGTAAAATTGGGGAGAAATACGGATTATATACGGCTCCCTTGTTGAGAAGTGATCTCGGACACCTAATCCAGGCGTTCGAATTGTTCAGCTACCGCAATCTTTCGGCACCACAACTATGTAGGCAGCTTGAAGCACAAAGTTTAAGATATTCCCGAATCATTCAAGCCTGGACAGAAGCCTTCTGAAAGTCAGAGGGTATATTATCACAGTCTTTAAGCCAGTAGTCCGACTAGAATATCCTCGGCTTTCAGGAGTTTGTTTCTATAAGGCAACAATGTACAGTAGCATGACAGATGATTTCTCCCAATGAGTTATTGTAGTAATCGTGCTAGTATTTGGTTATGTTTAATATTTATTACAAAAGAGATGATAAAACAATTTCTCCAACTTTCTACCCGTTTCCCCACCCTCGACTACTTTAGCATTCCTGTCAGTTGTATGGAAAGTCAGCTGGCACATTTGTCGGCCTGGGTACAACAGTTGCAAAAATCCCCTGGGACGACGATCACTTCGCATCAGTTGGCAGGATATTCCCATCGGTATTGTGGAGCAAACGCATGTCGAGTGGTTGAAGGCCAAGCAAAAGCGCCAAGCTTAGACACGGAGCTGTCCTACACTCCGAGCAACTCCAGTCTTGATAGTGCCTATTCAAATCGAAGCAGTGGGTTGTTTCATTCTATCTTAGTTTTTCCTTCTGTATTGTCGTACTTTTTCCTATGGGCAAGATATAATTACAGACTGCTGTTGAGACGTCAGAAAGTTTTCGTTTGCTCGTCGTATAACCATATAGACACAGTAACACATACGTAAATAACGGAGAAAATGAACTCCATTTTTCAACCAAAGGAAATCGTCTGCTTTTATGTCTTATTGAGCACTTCCGGAAGGATTAAAATCACCTAATAGAAAATAAAAATGTATACAAAGTCGTGTATACTCCTATACAAAATTCACAATAGACAAAAGCATTTTTCAGACCCATCTACAGCCTAACAGCCATCAATTCGACTTCTTGTGATGAACAAACTTTCTTCAGTGACATACAAGCCGAGCTGATCTTCTCTGGGGTCCGCACTGTGCAGCCAAATCTGCATGAATGTTAGCCATCTTGCTTCCAAATTCTTCATCCACCGTAGACAAATTGAGGTTCCATAATTTTTGATATCCCATATGAAGGTGTTCAGTCATTATTCTCGTCGAAGATGCCACTCACCACACACACAGGATAGGGCTTCGAACTTGCTACACAAATTTGTTCTCCGGTATGCGGACTTCGCATTCAAAGTCCCAGCATGTATGCCGGCAATTCTGATATACTCTGACAATGTTGTTCAACTGCTGACGTGGATTTGCAACCGATTCATTTTGTTTTGAGTGTAAGATTGGAAAGCCAGCGACCGTGTAACTGACTTCCGTCATTCCTCGCGCCATAGTACCAAATATCAAACCAACAAATTAGCACAGAACGGTCGTTGGATTGATTTCTTCTGACTGTGTTTCCCAGGCTAATCGTTCACTGTAAAGCATTTTCCAGAAGGGTCATTTTTGTGGTATCAACATGTGTTTCCGTGTGGTTCCTTGCTCAACCTTTTAGAAAGACAACAGAACCGCAATAATTTGACACGAATACCAATGTAGTTTCGGATTTTGCTGACGGTGCCGAACATGTAGAGAATGCTTTCGCTTTAGCTGCATCCATTTCGGAACTGAGTTTCCCAGCATATTATTCAAACTGGGTCGTTGTAGTTAGAGGCTTTTCCGACCACTACCTAGCAGTCTTAGACTTGCTGGTAGGTTACACTCCCTTGTTTAGCCAGGAAGCGATCTTCATTGGCCAAACGGATGCCTATTTGGACAGACGTAAAGAGTGCCTCACCGTACTTTAATTCGGAGCCACAGGTTGCTGACATTCGGACTTCGTTAGGAGAGTAGTGAAATTAGTTTAGGTGACGCTCTCCCGCTTAACATGGTGTTCCATGAAGTAAGGCGCTTAAGTGAGCAGAAGGAAGTAAGCAATAGTTTGCTTTCATAAATTAAAGAGCGAATGAATATCTCAACATAAAAAACTTACCATTCTAGAAAGAAACCATGGTTGGACATCCTAAAAACAGTGTGAAAAGTTCTCCCATGTTTTTAGTTTGTAAGACTGGCCTTTATCAACTGGAAACGCCGACGAAATGAGACAAGTGCATTGAATACGTGTTTGGTTGACCATCCATCTATAAAGTGTAATGAATAAAATCTTTTCCATGGGTAATGAGGTGCGCGCTGAAACGCAGTACATGCGATAGAGATAAGCAAAATCAGCCATTCATAAAGAAGCGAAACGGGGGCTGTTTGATGTGCCAGTGGGCCAGCCTCCATACATAACCAGGATCTCTTGTCTCAGAACACATTTGAGGTCACTCATGAACTTGTGTTTGATGACACCGAAGACGATTCCCCCTTAGGTGAAACAAAACTCCACATCTGCGTGGTGTTCTGTTAATGGAGAGTGCTGAAAAATCCGCAAATGCCTGGGCGCTGTTGCGCTCCATCAAGAGTTTCACTCGTGTACAACACAATTAACCACTTACAAAATTGTCTGAACCAGGATGTATTTGCAATCAGCAATGCAGAGGTCGGCCCTTGAGAGAAAGATTTTTGATCCCAAAAGGAATTTTTGCCAGTTCCCTGAGGTTGCTTTGATCTGATATCTTCCATGAGAAATTAAGATGCGAATGTTTCATGCTAAAAGATTGCGGGATATATAGTCTGGCGACTTCGCGTTTTTAGTCCAAATGATGTGATGGAATCCTTTACCAATTCAGAACGGCTAATCTTTGTTTTAATTAGCTGTATCTGCGCCTCAGTCAGGGTACTCTTCTTATGATGGATATTTTTATAGCCTGTGATGACGCTGATATAAGGTTCGAAGGAACATGAAAACTGAAGTTGCGAGAAAGCAGAATATTCTCCTTGGTTTTAAACAGGGTTTTTGATACTGTTGCTTTGAGTTCCGTGTAGCTACTTTCGCCGGGACAATCATCTATCGCTTATATTTCACCACAGTGTTGGTACAACCACTTTCATACTTTTCAAAAGAGATTTTGCTTCCCAAACGTCAGGTCTTTGGAAGATCATTCTGAAACGTTTGGCTGATTTGATAATACGCTTAGAAAGGGCTTTCAAACAGAACGCACAACGATGAAGAGAGTCTCTAGACAGGAATCGTGTTATCATTTCTCGAGAATTACTCTCTTTTGAACTGAGGTTGTAGAAAAATTTAACATAATTTTTGCCCAGCATTTTGAATTTTGTAGACCGAAAAGATAAGAAATTAGCATCCCGAGAAGGTCTTGTCATATGAGCACGTGATGAATAGTCTAAAGGTGGATATATAGCCGCACTCCCAAAGGTGTTTCTGCTCATTCGCTTACGTTTCACGTCATATTTCTGTCTGAATGACATTGTAGCTACCAGTTCTGACTCCGGACACAATCGTAGCGAACTTGTCAAACCTCATTTAATGCCAGCTGTGCCCGAATATCATGACACCATGAATCACCCTGTCCGACCTCAACCACAAGCTGTTTCGACAGAAGCGCAAACCGTCAAGCCTGTGAATCCAGTGGTGCTTGATCCAACAGCGACCCATCCCGAATACTGTCACGTGATCACTGTTCCCAACTGTTCAGGTCCTGTTAACCACACACTTATCGGACAGTACCGCGCAGAAATGCAACTGCTGAAAAACAAATTACAGCTCGTGCAGACCGAACTGTCCAACGTCAGGTCGGAACTGTCGATACTCCGCAGGGCAGAACAAGCGGGAATGACACAACATCGAGAAGTCATTGAAAGCATTAAGGAGCAGGTCAAGGTTTGTTTCAAACTGGTTTTCACAAATACTTTGAAGAGCACATTTTGCTTTCTAGTGGTTCAAAAAACGGTGTACAAAATGCACGCTAACTCTCAGCATTGGACTAAGTAGTTCAGGTTCACCAGAAAAACGGACACTTCAAGTATTCTGAATTGAAGAAACAGGATATTTGCCACCCGAAATGTTTTAACCTAATGATTGATCTGGGCAATTCCATTTAATTCTTGGCAACCAGTGTTTCCCTACTGAGTTTGTTGTGTATTAATAGTTAACCCATCCCATTCCATGTACGGCATGCATCCAAATGGATTTTCAAACCGCGAACCAACGGTTAATTGCATGTGCTAACTCGGTGATCGCATAACTTTTTCTTTATGTGAAATGCACTCCTCGCTCGTTATCTACAACTTGCATGTTCATTAGGGAGAGGTTAAACTATCATAACATCGGTTGACACAAGACATGAGCCGCGTAATGTGAAAGGCACACCGAATACCCAAGTCGCCTCTGTTGCATATTCCATTGATTGTTCTTGGTTTATATACTGACTGCTGAGAACAAACGCCACGATCGATGCTCAAATAATTCTTTCAACTTTGATGTCCTTCGGCCAAATGTGCAACGTACAGAGCTACTCAAGCTTCATTCGGGCCGCTATTCAAGATATCTCAATACATTTTTTAACAAAAAACAATGCTGTACAATATTCGCTTTAACTAAAATTTACTAAGATGTGCGCATCTGGGTCTTTCGAGATGAACGTGCGACTGTTATGTACTTACTCATTTTTAAAAGTGGCCTTTAGTTTTTCAGCTAACTATAATGGATGAAAAATTAAAGACGCAAGTTGGTTGTTCTTAAGTTACTCTCTACTTTTCACGGTATGGTTGTACTCCATTTCGGGTCGTTAACTTGCACAAAGAAAAACTGTCTACCTAAGTTGTATGCAAAATATGAATGACTATATATGTAATAATGACGCAACATGCTTGAAAGCACGCTTAATTTGTCCAACTGCACATACAGAACCGGGGTTATTGTATCAAAGAGCTGTTTGGAATACCACTTGCATATTGCTAGAAGTCCCCACAGATAGTGACTGAACTTTCTCTAATTTCTAATGCCCTGAATTAAATTTGACTACTATTCCAGTATACGTATATCGAGCATGCAGCGTTCGAGTATCAAGCACATTTTACATTCACATCGTATGGGTGTCTAGTGAAAACCAATGACAGATATTTGTCCAATATCAAAATGAATGAAGGAGTTTCGTCTGTCCTTTAGCAGTCACTCATTTTTACCGTTAGTGATATGCATCAAATTCTTAAGTAACCATATAGGTCATTTGTTTTTCTTTTGGTAGAGTAAACAAACGGGTCTTTATAGCCGTTTGGCACATTAGGAGCAACATGGGTACAGTAGTCAACCAACACGGCGGAATAACCTCAGAAATGCATTTTCCACGCACCATTTCTCCTTCAACAGTCACATACTAGCTTTGTTCAAGATAATTTTTCACTCACAAAGTCCGGCCACTTTCCATCGATTATGTTTAGTATGAGGTTTTAACTTTGAGCACGTCCCACCTACATTCTGATCTCCCTACCCAACAGCGCCTGACTCAAAATTCGATTGAGGTTGACAACACCCCTGTACAGTTGGCACGAAGCAACATCAACCATGAACTATCAGTGTACTCGAAAGAAGCACTCGAGACAGATGAGTGGATAAGAGATTTGGATATAGCTATCGAAGACCTCCGTGTTTTGGCCCTCACGCGGCGCTCCAGGATTCATCTACCAGACATTGAAACGCTTAATCTACATCTCACACGAGTCGGACATCGACTGAAAAATTTCAAAGGTAAGGAATTGCTGACCCTGTGTAAGCACTATTTCCACAATCTAAGCGAATGAATTTGGTATCCCGCACGTTCGATCAATCCATCAAATTCGTAAAAAAAACTCCCTAACTCGACTCGAATTCCCTAAAGAAAACAATTCATTACGGGCATAAACCTATTCTCAAAACGTTTATAAGATGGAAATGATACGACCAATAAAACTGAAGTGGGCCTTTTCGTCAAAGGTCTTCAAAAAGAACCTACTGAGCGACCACTAGTTTCGAACTTTCTCTATTGCTACCGACAGTAGCTCATTGTCAGATGGCCCGTTTTTATCTCATCTTTACCCCAGCGATTCTCATGGCTATGGAGGCTCGCATTATAAAGTAGTATTGTGTTCCTTACAAAATAAAATAATGCTAGACTAAAAGTCACAGCGAGGTGATTCGGTGATTAGAGCGCGGATTAGCTGACCGTAAGCGCCGTGTTTTGAACCCGACCTCCGACCCTCAACTCCTCCTGTCTAGGTTTGGGTAACCTAGCAACCCTCGTGCTTCCTTTGGGTGACATGGCAGTTAAGCACCGAAAGGGTGTTATAGCTGGAAAATCATTTATTTATTCAACAGCATCCACTAATCGGAATTATCTGTAAGAATGATCATTTCGTTGTGCATGAAAAAATCGCAAACAGTTCACATAAGAAAAACTGTCGATTTTTACCTTGTGTAAGTTTTTCTTGGCAAGGCAGTCACCAAAAGAGTGATTCGCAAAGAGAGCCACTTTCAAATATAGGTGGCTATTCTGGAAGTCTTATTATCATGCCTGATTGCGTGTCAACCGCAAGTTGGGAATAAACAGTATTATTATTATTACAATAGTGTGCCCCGTTAGGCATGTTCTAGACGCTCAGCCTTAGGGAAAAGCTGCTGATGATCATTCGGTGAAACCCATCTTCAGAGGACGTCCCTCGACAGAACCGCAATGTCTATAGGAACTGAATGTTTCATCTCAAGTATCCGTAAATGTACGTCTAAATGCCCGAAAATAGTCAATGTAGTTATCCAGGCACTGTTGGGCTGGATGAAACAATTGCGTAAAAGGTACGCTGATACAAGCCAGTACACGTTTTGGAAATAGCAGTGGTTATCTGTCACTCAGCCATTAGGGAAGAGGTAATAAAAGGTAAGAAGTAAATACTAAGGGATGAGGGAAAAAAGATGTATTTTTAGAAGAAGCGATCATGAACTAGGTGCGTGCACCTTGAACCAGCAACAGTTACCGAGGAAGATACCACCAGTTGGAGTGCTCATGTGTCCATTGCGAACTTCATCCAATGCTAGGGTGGTGAGCGGCGAGAGGTAAACTGTAGCTGCACAGTCTTGCCAGAAAGTGGTAGCACAATTGCCACTGATATACACTGCATACCGTATCCTGCGGGGTTCATAACCATAAGAAAATGAGAATTACATACCTCCTGGTCGAGGAGAACCCACGCACCCAGTTTGACTGCAGCCACATGTATTTCGCTAGATCATTTCATAACCTCATTCCCTCGAATCTTTCGTCAGCATGTATTTGGAATGAAAAACGGCGCCTTTCTTGACATATCCCAATCTTAACCCGATAAGTTTCACTTGGCTTCGCTTCGCTGGCAAAGCTCCTATGCACTATTCCATTGCGTTCACGCTGACGTCTGCTGTGCGACGAGAGCACCTTTAATAAACTGCCTGGAGGTCTTCAGTTTGGAGATCGTAAGATTCGAAAACATAAAAGAAAACCAATATTGCAGTTGTCCACTGCAAATGGCCCTTCAGCTTCTGGGGAAGTTCCATAAATCCCGCCTGTTTAAAAGTGTTGCTTGGGCTTCGCCAATGTATCACAGCATAATTGCGGTTTCCTACACCTACCAACATGCGTAGAAAACAACCAGTAGTAATAAGCTTTAAACTCGAGGGTTCAAAATGGCACAGTTGTTGAAGAGCCTAAAGTAAAACTTGCATTCAGAAGGTAAAAATGCAGTGTAACACAAAAAAATATCGGTGAATCTGTTTGTAAGAGATTGTACCAATTAATAGTCATTGGGTGGAAAAATTTGTCCTTCACATAACGAACTCAGGCGTGAATTCAATCCCTGAATTTCCAACTCCTGTTCGCACATTTCAAAACGGTATCGATGTCAACACTTATCTGAACTGGTGACCCAGGGTACCCATAGCACAACCAGAGATGTTGACATAAAAGGCATAAAGTATACAGACACCGGTACTTTACTTAATCGTTAATTTTTTTCCAGGTACATATTTATTTTATTCCATCCAAAAATCAAACGTCGCTTCGAAGTCAAAGAAAAAAGCACCTGTTGGTAAGCGTTTTATACTAAGCCGCTTGAACGTCTGACGCAACGTAAAAATGTGACCAGTACACCGCGTAGCTAGTTTAATTCTACTCAATGCTCTCCGATTTGTCTCACGAGCGGAAATCAGGTGCCATTTTATTAAGTAGGCTAGCAACCACTTTCTGGTAGCTGTCCCAACTTCGATGATTGAGAAGACGCTTCGTATGGTTTATTGGATTATGCCAAGATTAGTAATTGGCCCCAGTTCTCCGGGACTTGTTCTTGTTGCCGAATATGTTCAAACAGTTTAGACAAACGCTGGTTCCTTTCAAATGGAGTTAGTTTCACTGGAACAATCAGCTGGTTTTCGTTTGAAGGCGGAACAAATCAGTTCCACAAACATTGACAGCGGACACAAAATGACAGACTACGAATCACTTTCAGTGGGTAAAGTGAAAGACGCGCGCAGAGAGGGAGGACCAGCTAAATTGCTCAGTTATCTAATCACTGGGATCCAAGAGAACTCCAATATTATTTTTTATTAGCTCACTGACAAAAGGCCGGCTGAGTCCTGCTTGTCCAATTAAATGAATAGGCTTCCATGCAGCTTGCTGATTGCACCAGTTTCCTTTATTCTCTTATATTTCTAGTCCTACCATGGTTTCCTGTCCATACAAAGGCTTTGTTAGAGCTGACGTGCAATGGACCATCCGGCCAAATTGCGCTGGTATCAGGGAGATGTGATAACGCTTCTGAAATTCCGTGTACGCCTTCGGAAACTCTAGAAGCAACGCTTTTGATGTAGTGTACAGGCCTGGTTACTTCTCCCACTTAGGTTTGATTTCCTCCAAAAAGACCACCTGTATATCATAACACAGTAAGCTGTGGTATTTGGATCATATAGCTTTCCCTCTGCTGACTCCAAAGGTTAACTCTGTTAGTAGATTTACACGGGGAAATTTAGTGAATATGATCTGAATCAACGTCTGTACTGTCGAATGATCGAAGGTCGAGAAGTGGGCCCCGTCATCGGCCACTGAGGGCTAATTTCTAACCACTTTGGCTTCATCATTGCTCGGAAGTAGGGATGCGCCGGTTGGGCCCAAACCCAGTGTTACTCGGAAGTAACTGCTGATTGGCAGAAAGTTTCAAAAGGAGCTCGCCACTTTTGGAATCTGACCTAAACGCACCTTCCAGAAGAGCATCTGCGGGAATAAAGAGCCTAACCTGTTTGTTGATGTCAGAAAATATTACAACCGTGACCAAACACATCGTGGTAGACACGAGCACGGTTCATTCTCGATAGAAGGCACTTTTCGGCGAATAGGAGCTACCGTTGATCCGCACTTAAAACAAGCGGCGTCTTTGCACCGTGGGTCTTTTTGAAGGTAACTTGTCGGACATCACAGATTTGATCGTTTTTCGGTGGCTAGTCGAGCAAGAGTCCCCTTGCTCACAATAGAGAGGCTATATCAACCTTGGGTTTAACCACTGAAGCACCTAAAGTCAGCTGCAAGTCTTTTGTCTTCGTTCGAAGAAAAGACGAATATTCTGTGCTGTATTAAAAATCTGAGCTCATTTACCTGCACTTTCCGTGAGATAGGTTTCTCAGCCTCACAAGACCACACCCACTGTCTCTTATCTGGTTCAGTGAAGTGTTCCTAATTACTAAGAGAATTCGATTGAAAGGCTCATGGATAAGTCAAAAACACCTGCAAATCCGAGATATTTCTTACTGATAAGTTTTTTTTGTTGTTATAATGCAATAAGTGTCTGAAATATTCCACCAGATGAGAAATTGCTTCAACCTGAGGAGACGGCTACCTGAACAAAATGTTTAAAGAAGATGATCCCGGTTCATTGTATGGCTGATTCCCATGGGATTTGCTGTACAATAATAATATGTTGATGTATGCTCTTCTTGGCCGTCTTTTCATCACGGTAAACCAAATCAGGTGACTACTTTTTGCCATAGTACTCACTGACTACTAGGATGACCGCAGTGCTAATTGACCTTGGCCTATTGTCAGGCATAAATGACGTTCGTTTGTAGGAAACATGTATCAGCCGACTGGAATGTGATTCGGATTTAGCTCCCTGTGGTTAGCTATCAGCCTCTGTACGTAATTGATGTTGTTTCCGAGCCATCAGTCAATCATCACTAGATGCTTTTGTTCAAGAGAGCAGTCTGTTGTTCCACTATGTCAATCATCATCCAAGATGCGTCAAACAACTGCAAGCAAACAACATCACCTTGGGCGTCGTCACTGGCGCAGACGCTATTTCAGTGACCCGGGCAAGCGAAAGAAGTTGTACTGAAAACAAGAGATTTAACGAATGGGTGCTTACTTACCTCAACTACCATGGACTTCAGATTGATTTAATTATACCATTTAATTATACCATTTAATATACAATCAGCAAGAGCAATTCAACAGTACCATTGAGTTGCCTGTAAGCTCTCAGCGATGAGTAAAGCGTTCATCTCAAGCAGGCATTCAAAAGGAACGATAATTCGAAATGGACGGCTAGCAGCTCAGTAAATGAAACACTGCATTTCAGTTCAGCTACTTTATTCAGATTTGTGCCGCCATGAGGTTTTGACCTTTAGACGCTGAAGATCCTTTGGGCTGACCGAAAGTGCAACCTTCAGGATTTTTTGTTCTGGACAACCCGACATTTTGGAGTTTTCCTTCGGATGCGCTTCCGCTACTGGCTTCACTTTAGTGGCTACTGGCTTGGTGGGTCGCTACTCGAGTAGTAAAAGTTCCCTGTAAAATTTATGTTTGTTTTCTGGGCTATGTAAACAAGGTCTGAGAAGTCAACTACACGCACATGGGGTATACAAGCACCCTTGGATTATAGCGTAGCGCAGAATTCCTCCAATAGTGTACCACGCGAGGGGGTTCAGAGTACTACTCAAAACACTTGTGACAACCGAATCCTGAATACAAATTTGTAGTACATTTATTTCACGCTTGACCTTGAATCTTTGTTACTGTACATCCACGCCAAATGTGTCGAGTGCTGTGGCTATCCTCCTTTGGTCTTATGTCTGGATCTTAACCCGGGAGAAACCCTTCTCCATAATTGTACTTCCAAAAATGCACCAATCAGAGCGGGGCAGCGAAATGTGTACAAAAGCCCATGTTGCGTAAGTGACTGTCACTCATCCGTGTTGCTCAACCTGTTTGTTTTAAGAAATTGATCATGTTGTTTCATTTCTTTAGTAGATTTCCGCCAGCCGATAGCAACAGTAGGAAGAATGTCAGTAATCTGAATAAGACGTAACTGAAGTAAGAGCATGCTTTCAGCTAAAAGCAGCTGTCCTTGGGTTACATAGGTTCACTCAATGGAGGGGAACTTTCTCTGATATTTAAGAGTGGAGTCGAATAGCTTTGAAGTGAGAACTTGCCAGGTGAGGTGACCAAGCAATGCCGTAATCCGATTCATATTAGCGCCTTGATAAGGTTGCTTTCATTGGTTCACATGAGGGAGGAACGCATCATCCGCTGATTCCGAATGCGCGCCAGTGTGAACGTTGTGGCACGATCCTGTGTCTCTTTCGTGTTCTCTTGTTGAACCCATTGCAATAATTGCTATCCCTGACGCATGAGTGACAGACACATCACTGTACTATGCTTCCGGAGGCACATTTCCGATAATTTGTCAACTAAAACTTCTGAAGGCAATTAGCCAGATTAGAGTTGGTACACACAGCGATGGGTCCAACTAACCTAAACCATGCGACAATTATTTACGTCGCTTGAAAAGTTAATCGGAACTAAGCATAGAGAATAAACGACATTGCGGGTCATGTGATTTCGAGAATTTTCGTCCCGCTACCTATTCTTGTTACATCAAATGGGTGGGGAAATTTGAGCAAATCACAATCAAGTAGCATGGAACCGGAAATGGGTTAGGTGTGAAACGGGAGATTGCGATTTTCTTTGACGCAACATTACTTACAGAGTTTATGAAGGTCGTTCGGATATTCATTGCCAGTGTAAACCCAGATTTTCCACCACTTTCATTTCCTATTTGCACACAAATCTGTGTTTCATTGGAGTTATGCACTCATTCGCGAATTAACCTTGCGATTGATGTTATTCATAGGACGGGAGACTGGAAAAGTCCTCGAAACGAGGATCCATGGTTGTTATGTTAAAACCAAACGAAGAGAATGATAAAATACAGTGGGAACTGGCGCATCAAGCGGAGAGTAGGAAAGAAACATTCAGGTTCAGCTCATTGACCCAGATATGGTAGGGATAAGTTTAAAAGTATCTTTGTCTGAATATGCGTCTGGTTTTAGTTGTCACGTTTTCGGTGCCTCTTCACAGTGAATTACATTGGGTTTTTCCGGGAGAATACCGTTAGGAAATCCACTCGGTGATTCAATGTGGTCAGGATCCGAAAACTGTGCTACAACTCACATCCAGTGCTTTTCATCAACAGCTCTAGATAGCCATTTCGTTTGGTGCTCAGATGCATCGTTGTTCTACATATGTATATGCTTCTACAAGCACAGCTCAATTTACAGATATAATCTGATGTGACCACTGTATATAGACTATACTTTAGGATCAGAAGTGATACTCGTGCTATTCTGAATGTATATATCATTTGACTGCAGAAAAGCCACGTGGATGACGCACCCGTCATCTGTAAAGTCTCCAAAGAGACGGTGACTACCAGAATATCAAAAAACTGAAACAGATTGAAACAGAGAAGAACATCTTTCTTGACTTTTTTGATACACTTCTTCGTCTGGAACCAGATGGATCACTTACCGTGAATGTTCACCACAAACTGAGGAACACTGGATACTTGACGCCTCACTAGCTTAGTTATTCTCGGTGGCAAGTGATCGTTGATGCAGAATCCCTTTAGACGAGCCACTCGAATCAATTTTCCTAGCGCATCTTAATCTTATTCAGATTACCTAAGAAACTCTTTAAAGTGAGGTGGATATCCTGATGTTTTCTTGAAGAAGGATTGGTTCATACCTACATCGGGGATTCATACTACCGAATTCCTTAAAAAGAAGATCTACATCCATCTATTGTTTAGTGCCGACGACGTTACAACCAGGTTCCATCTTCCTCCTAAAAGTGTCGCAGAATGCACTTTTCGCGCATCCGACGGCCACCTCAAAAGGTATCCATGTGCAAACAGAGGCACAAAAAGAATTGCATTAGAGCATCTGAAGAAACACCTGTTCAAAATTGCGAAAAATGTCTGGGACACTAAAAATAGCCGTACTGCATCAGCGGATCCATTTCGAATCGTTACCTGACACAGAACATCTAATGTTTTCTTGCCTTTTAATTGTCCCCCAATTGATACCTAGTACCGATAACCATATCAGAAAGATCTTCCAGAGGAATGCAATTGAACGGGAACCACAACTACGAGAATAGACAGAAAAATTGTTAGTTCAGCAGTACGGGATGGACATAACTGAACGGGTCGCAGTGTTTCCACAACTAAATAGGATCATGACAATACAGAAGGTGGAATCCACTTTGAGATTAGTCTTTACACAATGCTGAACAATGTCGTCTATTCAACAAAATGTAATAAGTGTAACAAACGCTACTTTGGACATACCGAAAGAAATCTGTCTACACCAACAAGAAAACTCAATCCACGCTGTACTGCTCTTGACCAAGGGTGTTGATTCATCTTTGGGAAGTGAATCACTTGATATTTGGAGGCAATGAGGGAGTTTCCGGGACAAGAAGCTCCCCACGGCATATTTAATCGGTCACATATGCGACCTGGACCTAGCTACGCGACCACCGTCAAATTAAACTGAGAATTCAAACGAAACGAGGTACTGGACTGATAAATTGGCTGCACTATCACCAACGGAAACAACGACCGAGAAAGCACCGAGTAGGGCTGATGCAGTTAAGCTCAAAGTTAATCCAGATAAGTTTTAACGTATCTAGACAGCTCAGCTGAACATCTAGACGGCTAGTCATTATCAAAGGTCAACTTTAGGCTAGCGGAACCCATACAGTGCCCACAAACTGCCAATGCGCCGCACCACTGAGCATTGATAATTTTACCCCGATTGGTGATGCAACGTTTGGAACTAAATTGACAAACTCAGCAAACAGTCCAGTCATCGCCCTCAATATTAGCTACCAACGTTCTCTTCCGTATCAGCCCCATTGGTCCTTCTGGTCTGAGGACCTAACATGGACCTAACACCTATGTGTTCCTCAGTAACTTACGTAACTCGCAACCCTGTCTCAAGTCAAATATTGATCGGTGTTATTTGACATTTGCCAAATTTTGTCGGATTACTTAATACAATGACAGTATATAGCGGTACATGAGGCTACGAATTTACATGATCTCAAACCTGCGGGACTCACTTTCTCAATTTCCCCAAAAGTGAATATTCCTCGCCGAGTAAAGTCGATGTTAAATTTAAAGCTTGTGGTTTTTCCCATTGTTAATTTCGGAAAACATTTTCCACCTTCATTAAGATGAACTTCCGAAGATCTGCGGTGCTCTCAGAAGAGTAATGGATGCTGAACTCCGAAACATCAGTCGGAATCAAAAGTAAGTAAGGTCTTTCATGAGCTATCGCACGTAAGATTTTCTATTATTTCTAGATTGCAGCAGTCAGCGTTTTATTCTGTACAAATGGCAATAATTTCCAATCATAACCTAAGGACTGTCCGATCAAGTTCCACAAATCATACACGCTAGGACAGAATCGGAAGGCTTATATAGACGTTGCGCCTAATCTATGGCCATTTACATACAAACAGGCCCGATGGCGTCAAGTTCTTAAGTATCTTGTCCAAATCCCATCCCACCAGAGATGTAGGTCATGCTAGGGACCGAGCGTCTAAATCTGAACTCCAGAATTCGTCAATCGTTCATCAGAGAGCAACGGAATTCTTCGGCGTAGGTGATTGAACGTTGTCACGTACTCATATCCACCTTATTAATTTTTTCTTCTCATTACAACTGATTAGATGTTTGGATGAAGATTGTTCCGTTTTACACTGAACGTGGACACCATTAAAAACGATTTGTGTGGTGTCAAAGTTTGATTACTCATAACCTAAGCTTCCGGTGAGACCAGTTGTTCTTCGAGAATCAAAATGTGCGCTGGATGTAGGATGAATCATGTTGTCTACATCAAACGAGCAATTATTCACAGAGGACAAACCCAGTGGGGGAGCGGTCTGAAAATGAGATACAATTATTCTAGAAATGCACAAAAACTTGCACATTTTCAGAATAAAACTTTTTTTATTCTTAAGGCCTTTGTGAAATATCTTGCTTGAAGTTTCCGGGGATTTTTTGCAGGATTAATGGATGAAACCCTCTAATTGCTGAAAAACGAGTGGCTCTGAACGGTCCATGAAAAAGCTCTGGCAAATACTATTCTCGTCCCAATGTGCAATTGATGTGGTAGCAATAGGCTTACTACTACTTCCATTACTGTCTAACATTCTTACATGGAATTTATCAGCTTCAGCATTCGACGCTGCATTGATGATAGGTTTTTTGTGACAAATCAAGGCGTCAACGGCCTGTCGTTCTCAAAAGGAAAAGGTAGAGTGCACTCAACAACCCGATTTTCAGTGTGAAACTGAAAGATCACAGATCAAATATCCTCGGCAGGGAGTATTGGAGACTTCCTTAGCTTTACGTTCACGCAAGAAAATCAAAACTTAGTTTTGCCCACGAAAGAAAGAATGATAAGCTCGGATGGCACCACAAACATGGAACTCAAGATCCCACAAATCTTGTACGAGGAAACGCCGACCCGGCAAGCTTTATGGAGTGAAAATATGACGGACAGTCCAACCCGATCGACTGAACCAAGCAATCAGAAAATCGTGCCTTCAAACCGGTTCTTTTTGGACGAACAGGATTACAGCGCTCTGAAACTCTCGCTGCAGGAGAGATTTCAGGCTTTCATTTTGAAAAACCATCGGCAGATGCATCACAATTTTGGCAGTGCATGCCTGCGAAAAATGTCTTAGACGCCAATCTGTTTCAATCTGTCAAACCCAAGCTTTGAGTACTTAAGTAGTTCACTTAAAATCATCTACAAGTCACTCAGGGACAACCAATTAGCATGCCTTGGCTAGAGAAGAGCCATCCGCCTAGTCCCTTCATCAAGGAGTGACTTGCGGACACGCTACAGTTTGTCTGGCCTCACATGAATAGACTAGATGTTTCAACGTGGCGGTAATCCAGCCACGGCCAAGTGAAACTTGTGAATTAATTCCAATCTTTTTACTGATCTCTGACTAATCATTCCGCGAAAATGATAACCCAGTTCATCATAATTTCCCTCTCCTAGTAGTGCAGGGATTTTAACAGTTCACTCGAATTCAACCATCGATGAAACCTACGAAACATTCATTATGCTAAAGTCATGCATTTCAACCACAATAGTGAATAAACCCACGTTTTGTTTTTTTACTTCAACAGATTTATCGATTCGGAGTCAAATCGAATTGACGAGGCTCTGGAACGATGCAAGCAAATGACCAGCACACTATTCACTCTCAAAAGGTGAGCTGAGCCAACATTCGTTAAAAGCTGTTATTAGATGTGCACATTTTTAAAAAAATTTATTCTGTCCGGCTTGACATTTATATTGTCAAATCCTCAATAACAATAGTAATAATATCCGTAAGCCTTCATGTTTTTGTGGGAATCTCCGATAACCTAGCTATAGACCGTTTTTTGTCTGACGTTTCTTTCAAGAGGTGGGATAACAAAAACATCAAAAATTGGACAGACAGAGAGACTGGTGGACAACTGTGTTATCTTCGGTAGGCACAAAATATGCGGGTTCATCAATCTTGGTAGTCAGACATAACAAACCATATTACTTCCCGCTTGAAGAAATATATCCAAGTGCATAACAGTCCAGCGTGCTAGCATTTGTACACGTCAGGTAGTCAGACAAACACTTGTTTGTCCATAATTATCCAAGGAGTGTAAATCGAACTAACCAGTCTATCAGTGTTCCGTTCATGTTTGTTCCGTTGAATCGGCCCAGACTCTTCATATGTTGGTGTGAACGTTTGTGGTATTCCGGTTAACAGCAAACTGAGTGGAGCGAAAATGTAGGGCGAACAAATTTGGAACAAACCTATGATTTGATTGAATATTCACTCAGTGGCTTGTTTTCCAATGTGGCAAGTTACGGTTCACCAACAGACGACAATTCAGACAAAATTACTCCTATTGAAAAGACAGCTCCCAGAGGATTTCAGTGCTCACTTTGGGTAAACGTGTGTAGGAACAGAATTTCACAGAAACCTTATTGAAGAGCGGCTTCCTGAATGAGGCATTTCGTAATTCTGTAGTTGACCATAAGCTTAGTAGAAATCTGTCGATAATATTTTGTCTTTTGACGGCAATTGCATGCCGATCAAATTGTCTGCAATCGCGTTTACTCATCGACGGCTGTCCCCGACCGTAGCCCCAAGGTAAGAACAAAGTTCAATCTTAGCATTCGTTGATTACTTTGGGTAAGTATCCTATATTATATGGCAGTCATCTGGAAGACAACCTATGTGAGGTTGACAAATGCATAGTGGTGTTTCCTAAGGCCTGAAAATCTCCTACAACGAAGCAAATTTGTGCACTCTCTCCTTCACCTTGGGGCAAACAGCAAACGCTAGCTCCTTTTTCATGAGCGCGTTACTTCAAGCCACAGGTTCCAGATCACTCGTCACCAAAATCAGAGGTTTTCCTGGTTTTACTTTCCACACGGATCCTCGTGTTGGATTTTGCTATCAATACTGCCATGCTGGCACCTGTACTTGGATTGGGGGGGGGCAGCTAAAAGAGGAACTGTCGCTTGTGGCAGCCAGCCTATCGCCTGGCAAATGTACCCATATGAAACCGGCAGACCTAAAGTGAACAGAATCAATAGACAAAAAAGCCTGCCTAAGTACTACCTATCTTGTCGACTGCAATGAACGTGGATGTGGATCTGACTGGCTTCTTTTGGTAGCATTTATTTAGGTTCATGGATGAAAGTGATACATATGGAAAACCGAACGGCAGCTTGGTTATCAAAGTCTGTAACAACACGAAATTTTGATACATATGCCCATTGACAGGGACCTCTACGATGATGTGATGTATACAAAAACAGCACCGACAAATAACCATTGTTGGAAGTACCAGCCCTACAATCCATACACCGTGAAAAACGCTCTGTTTATAAAAAAACGGTTTTCTTCCGATGAATACCATCTCTAGATAAAGACCACTCAGAGACAGACATTATGTTGAAGGGTTCACTGATCATCGGTGTTTGGAATCAATATCTCATTTCAACCCTTTTACTACTTTCAAATGTAACCAAGGCGTGGCAGTAACAGAGGACAAACACGCCTTGGAACCATCTGCTACATTGTCTGAGAATTGAAAACCAGACTTCAGTGACACGCACGGCCATCGTCCAAATACTCGTGTACCTTTTTTGTCAGGTCACGCTTCTGTCACAAATCATTTAAGACCTTACCCTTGTCGGTTGCTATGTGGCCTCAGTATCCGTCCTTTTGACTTTGTATTCCATTTTTCCCCAGAGAAAACCGGGTGTTAGTTACAATCCAAATAGTATGTAGCACAGATGTAGTCGATAGACAGAACTTTTGTCTGACTGTCACTGTCTCGACTAGACATCTGGCTATGACTCAGCCTCAGCTGCCAACACCACACGGTCGCCTATCGTTCTCGCACGCAACGAAGTTACGTCATGTCAGCATTTGATGATGATGATGATGATGATGATGATGATGATGACGGTGATGAAACCAGCAATAAACTGTGCATTCTGACATTTGCTCCGCCTAGAAATGGAAAAGCAGTGAATGGGGGAGTGAGGTTTCCTTCATCCATAGACTCAATTTTTGATAGTACACAGTACAGTGGTTCCTCAAGAAGAACACCAAGAGTGCCAACTGCCTCCTTCCACTGCTCCCCGTCAGCGGTGGCCTACGGTCCTTCGAAGAGCAGTGAATGCACTTTTCTCTGTGAAGGTCGGGCTTGCGGCGTATTGTACGGTAGATGTTTTCTCACAACTAGTAAGCGTAATCTTTACTCCATGGAGCGAACAGACTAAGGAAAGTTTACGATGCTTTTTGGGCCACCAAAACTAATGACAGCTACGTATCATATGCAATTTAGCGTTTGTAGCTGCAATCACGTACTAGATGGTAAAATGAATACCCAAAAGCTCTAATATTCATTCACATTAACGAATGTAAAAGGGAACTATCCAGGTGCATTCGGTCATTGATCAACACATAAATAGATATATCCTAACAAAACAAGCGACTTTGAGCTTTGGCCATTGAATAAGCATCTAAAAAAGCGACTAGAGTCCAGGCATTCTAGAATCATAACTGCGCAAATGTACCTTTCTTAATGGTCAGTCATGGATAAATGTCGCGTGGTCATTCACTATTTTTCTGAGTTATCCTTACACATGGTCTAACCTCAGTATTCGAGTAAATTCATAGATCCCAGGCCCAGAAGCAACTTCGATGATCACTTTGGGTTGGAACTCAAGGAGTGAACTTTGAATATCAGGTGATCGAATTCTTATTCATCATCATGATTAGTACCATGTGAATAGGATTACAAAGCTTCGTTTTTGCAGGACTGAGCAATCCGCCTTTATCTGTAAAACCACAATTCCATGGTTTGGTAACTGGAAGATCGTCTGCAACGGGCAAAAACGGTTGCCCAACTGTTCACAATCTTTTCATTCCCGAAAGAGGCTGTGTATAGATTGTTCGGATGGAGCCAGTAGCCAATCAGACCCCGTTCTTCTGGGGTTTTAATTGGCGTCATTGAAGAGGTAGACCCCAATCTAATTCAGCTCCTGATGGACAGATTCCCAATAAATTTCAAACCATAGAGTAATAGACACAATTTCTCTACCCGTCCGATGCGTCAGCGAAGCAGCTGCACAAATACTTATGTTGATGGCTAAGGCTCCACACATTTGGGCCAACTTGTAATTCACCTTGACTGTTGGCGAATGATCGCCCGGTCTGTCCTATACAACTCCTCCATCTCACTGAACAAAACTGACTGACTGAAGCTCACTGAATTAGATCTGCCACGTTATGGAATGCTCCTGGTGAATTTTTAGCCAGTAGAATTATCGAATGGAAAGCAATGCCTACTTTAACGACTGTGGGTAGGCATGCGTGCTATATTTTCCAATCACATCAACTTGATGAGACCTCTTTGCTATTCTAACAGGCTCTTGGTCTTCACCAAGTATTCGCTTATGCGTCGTGCAGCAGCAGTCACGCTGTAGTCAGGGGACTCTTGTCATGCTACAAAGACTTCTATGAAGGCAGGACACAGCCCGAAGCTCTTTTGACTCCCGATAGATTTCTAGAAAACTTATTTTCTACTCTTGTAGGACAAAAGTCCAAGACAGAGATCTTAAGAAAGCGAGTAAAATCATGTTGCAACCTGGTATGCAAGTTAACAGAACTATCGGGGGGATTCAATGCTCGAGGACCAACTGTTTATGAGATGGTCTTGCAAGATGTGGGTTTTGTTGCCAGTCACATTGTGATAACAACCTCCCTCGTACTGAAATGGCAGTCCAGATAAAAGTGTTCGAAAAGAGCAACCGAAATCAAGACTACAAGCACAACTCGAGTTGAAAAACGCTACCGCCTAACTCAGGTTGTCTACTTTCATGAAATAACCGAGACAAAACTAGACATATCTGGTACGAGTTACATGATGTTTAGTCCAAGAAATAAACTCAGTGGAAGACTACTGAATAGTTTAGCTTAAAACCTAGCTTGGAAAACTCTAACAGCATGCCAAGACCTGGTGAATTGATCCTGGACTCCTTCGAAAAGAATCCATTGCCCAAAAGTTGTTCTCCCGCGTTGGTCGTCTTTCTGGGGGAGTCAATGAACTTCCTCACACTCACAGAACAACTGAGTCGGGCGATAGATCCAAAAATGTGCCATTTCTTTACCAGTGCCAACACAAATAAACCAACTAATGAAGTTATGTATTACGTTTCCGGCTTTCCTTAGGCTTGGAGCTGTGCAGGAACACAGTGTTTGTGAGAACATTCCGTGTGTTCGTACCGTTCGGGAACCGACAGCAGATGACAGACGAAAGCTGATGGATCGGATCGATACTCTTATTCCAGATCATCAAGCAAGAGAACGATGCATCCAGGTAGGTTAAAAAGCAAGTTAGTTGAGTAAAGTTTTGCCTTGCTTTGAAGGAGATAAAAAGAACTATAAACAACCTGACCGCTGCTATACTCATATCTACACTTCACTCGAACAACTAGTGACACCACTGAAGCAAGCAAAGTTTTGTGGCTTAACACGTCTCTCTGTTTTTATCCAGCCCTTGTATGCAAACAGCTTGTTATTATCGGAAAACTACACTATTAATCCTTTGTATAAAGAAAGTCTTTTTTGTTTAGAGCCTCTCCCGGAGAAGTGTCATTTTGTGATGGATCAATCAGGCTGACATAAACTTCATCCATTCCAGATCTCATTGATCGAGAGAAGAAAACGTTCAAGGAATAAAATACAATATCTTACCATATTTCATGAGTTACTCTCAAAATCCTACAATATGACTGATAATGCACTAACCTGCTGCGACTCTCGGAAAGCACTATGAGTGCTGGGATGTTACCAGTACGTCTGAGTCCAGTTAGGAGCAGCCCAGAGTTCAAGGTTGAATCAAACCTCAGGTTCTATAGTCAGGGAATTATGCAAGGCAAGCATAAGTATTATATTTTCTGTACGCCCTAACAAACAATACCAGGATCCTTAAAATAGTGCACAGCACAACATAGCCGCATATTCGCTCGGATTTTTTGACAACTCCACGTTATGACCGCAGCAAAATTCATGAAGTCTGACATTTTTTCAGCCTGTTCTGATGTATCCTGATCGCATTTCAAAATCAGTTTAATTATTCTAGTTAAGATCAAGTCGGCTGCCATCCGGATAAATAAAATTAAGAGTACTCAACTAAGTTTAACTCAGCATTTAAAAAGTCCTCTCAGAAAAGCGGATCGGTTGAATGTTTAGAAAGGTCTCCACTGCTAGAGGATAATCAGAAATACGACTAATTTGTATTCACCGCGAAACTGTGCCTAAGTTCGCAGGGCTTGTGTCTCCGTTCTCCAGTTCTTATCACTTTCTACCTAATCTTATTGCTCACGTCAGTGTACTCAAATTATGGTAAAAAACGAATCCTAAATTCGATTTAGACATTCGCGTTTAAATGATCCTAATCTTAACGAGGTGAAAAAGACCTCTTCAACCAAGGGTTGTTAACACGTCACTCCAGGTGTACTTCAAGTTTAGAGTGTGTTCAGCTCAGCTAAATGGTAGCCTGAATGCGTCGTGTATGTACAACGGTGAGTGACATTGGCCGGTTGCATTTTTTTCGTGACTACTATTGATCAGACTCCCGAATTCTAATCAAAACAGCGCAAACAAACTTTTCTCCATGTTAGTTGAAAAAAGTATTCCTTATCTAAACTCAAAGATTTTGTGCCAATTCGGATTTCAGTTCACGTGAAATTGCCTGACTAGAGAAAAACTTTAACATCGCAGATGGTCTTTTAAAAAGGTTGGTTTTTGGCTGTGTGTTTTCTCCGAGGGAAATTTTTGGCACTCAGGATGGGAATTTGAATCCTCCTTTTCAGGGACACCGACTGTTTGAATGTTGTGTGGAATCAATGGGTCTTTAAATCGTTTATTTCACAGTTTACTATACACCGGTTTTTCTTGCCTCATCCATTATTGGGCAGGGATGGGCGGCTACGACATGAATGTTTGTACTGATAAAAGTGTTTCCTTGTCTTCTGAAAGTATCGTTGGGATTCTCCAGATGTTGGAGGGTAATGTTCCGTAAAAATAACTCCTTACATTTTTTTCACTTGCAACAGTAGTTCTGGTTATTTTTCCACTACACTCGCTCCAGAATTCCTCCCGTTGCGATAACGCGAACTTCAGAGGCGTGCAGCGATAGAAAGATCTTAGAAAACTAATAATTCGTAGCTTACAATCTCTCTGTTACCTTGCTTGAAAACACCCGTTTTAACCACACAAGGCATCCCGACGGACAAGCAGCTGACGTCAGGACCGTTTTTCCATGGTTGGCGTAAGTGAGCTCAGTCTATTCTATCAACGACTCTCCAGGACATGCCCTTTTGGGTAAATTTCACGCTGTTTTGTGGGGTTCGTTGGAGAATTCAAGTTTCGTTCAAGGCCTGTCAAAATGAAGCTAGCCGATTACAAATCCCTCACCGACGTCCTTATCACGCCTGGACTTTAGATAACAACGCCGGTTAGATGTGCTGGTCAGGGCCTGTGGAACTTTGAATTTATCTAGGAAACCTGTAAACGGATAATTTAGGGGTTTTAGCCGTCAAGTCAATTCTTGTCAACCTAGAGATCACACTACTCATAAGGTTTCTGAGACCTGGCGGTCGGTTTCTTTGGGATTTATCAGCTAGCTGGAATCCCGTTTACCAGACCACTTTGGATATGGGTGAAAAACTTGAGAATCGTGTAAACGGATAATTTAGGGGTTTCAGCCGTCAAGTCAATTCTTGTCAACCCAGAGATCACATTACTCATAAGGTTGCTGGGACCTCACGATCGGTTTCTTTGGGATTTATCAGGTAGCCGGAATCCCGTTTACCAGACCCCTTTGGATATGGGTGAAAAACTTGAGAATCGACTCCTTGAAATGAACTTCTCATTTACAGTTAGTGGAGGTTGTCACATGTGCATTGCTTTGCGCCACTGTACAATGGTAAGTCAGATCTGTTAGGCCGATTGTGGATTAAAGCTGACAAAATAAGGAAATTGAGTGGTACAAATGGATAACATTACTCCAACTGTCTCGTGGAATCAAATACAAAAAACAACGACTAATTCTTCGCCAGCTAACTTATTTTGCGGAAACAACAGAACTGTTGTGCAGATCTCGTCCTGTAAGCGAAACCAATCTATGCTGAAAAGCCGGGAAGTAAGGTGCAGCTGTTTCATTCTTATTGCGAATCATCATCAGTACGCATCTCACGAAACTCCGGAGAGACTCGAACACGCGACCTCCTCCTAGTAGTTTGAACACTCAGCCGTTCGGCCACGGGTGGCTGATCAGCAGACAGGATAAAGCGCCGCTCATTCTTCAAACACGGGATCCACATCATGCGATCACACGTGTTGACTAGCTCCTCGAGAAACGACTTCTCGAATCGCAACGCAATTGGCGTTTTCGCTGTACTGAAAGAAAGAGAAGGCTGGGAACCAATTCACTGCTTCAAAACCATCCTGCTTTGTCCGTCTAATTAAATGCTATTGTAAATGGGTTTGCGCTGTCACGAAATTACGTAAAACCCAGCTGTATATGAAGAGGATATTGCAGTACCATGCCAGGCAAAGAATTACGCGTTAAAAAACGGAGAAGTTACTAAACTTCTCGCACCGAATCGTTCCGTGTGTGGCCCATGTCATATGAGTAAACGAATAAATAACTCGGGCTGACTGCAACCTGCCCCTACAAGAGGTTTCTCAGCCCATATTTCTAATGCTTCCTGCACGTACAGAAGTTTTAAGTATGTTTTCCCGATTGTTCCCTCAGCTGGGCAGCAAAACTGTTTTTTTTTATAAAATACCAATGATATCACGTGCAATAAAGTGCGATCGAAAAATGTTCCCATCTACGAGCTCTTAAAGTGACCAAAGTATTTTCCTCATGATACAGGTTAGCACGCATGTTGCGATGACTCGATTTAGTTTCCGTTGAATTTTTGCAAATGAACTCTAGTTTTGTGTGGGAAAATAGTTTTACTGTATACGGGAAACTAACATCTCCCAGTTTCCGGCAGCGATCAATCAAGTGGTTGGAAAAAACCTGCTTCGGCCGATGTTCGTCATGCCTAATTGGTGAAATTTACGTCAACCACTGGTTAGATTTATTTTATCCACAAAAGTGTCTAGCCAGTCCGCGAAAATTTCGTTACTTTGGCTGGAGCACCGAGTAAGCTTTGAAAAGCTTTGAGAATAATTTAGTTGCAAAGAATTTACGAGAACATACTGTCTACATGATTTACTACGGAGCTTTGGAGCTTCGAATATTACTTACACCGAAAGTATTTGTGGAAACCAAATTGATAAGGTTGACGGGAACTCTTATGAAAAATATCTGTTTTTTGTGATACATATGTCCATCCCGGAGTACTTTGAAAGGAATACTAAAACATGAATTTATTGCAGTGGACCCCTCAAAAGCAGACACCTGACAAGCTTCATGCTCAGTATGCGTCCAAATATACCATTTATTTATCCTTTCACTGCATGAATTATAACTATGTAGAACTGTAATTCTGGAGAGCTCGGACGTCTTAATTTCGACTCTCGGGCGATCATGAACTGAGGCAGGATTAGTCGGCTCCGAAAATGTCTCGGATACATTCTGCCGAGACACGGCGATTGGCTGCTAGTTCAGCATAAATCGTGATCTGTTGTCCGCTTCAGTGGCAGACTCCGAAGACCACATAGAGACTGAGCTGTTCCATATCTTTCTTAACCTGACTCATCCGGGTTGTTGCCTCGTCCTTGACGTGTAAAGCAGATAAATTCTTTGGTGATTTCGACACCATTCCTACACACCAGATGCCAAACCAATTTCAACCGCCGTCATTGACAGAGTTGTGATAGATTGTAGTCTGGTGGGTGGTTGTGATTAGTGTAGTGGGTTACGAAAGCGTTTTCGAGCGTTCATTGACCGTTGATCTATTCGCTGAGCTTGGCAATCAGCGTGCAAACGTCTCGTTGCCAATCGAGGCGGCATCACCAGTGCGCACCGACAGTATCATCTCCATTGGCTACGAAATGTTTGTAAGCTAAGCGCCAAGTTCGGCGAACTGATCAGTGGTTACCTGATCAACCACCAGTCATCAGACAAACTGGATAAAAACTGGCAACATGACAGCAACAATTTCCGAATATGTTTTGTGCATGAATCCCAGAGTGATGCAGGAAACAACAGATAATGGCATCTCTCTTGAATAGTCATCACTACTGATAAAGAACGTTTGGATTAAATTTACCTGATGACTGATTTTATTGAGTTTCCCACTACTTCAGGCGTGGAATATGGCTTATTCGCTTCGCAGCAGGAAACACTATGACACCTTATGCCACTGATTCGACGACGGCGTTATACAGGTGATCTGTTTAGTGCTCCCGCTATCCTGTCACGTCAGCGGGCTTTCATCTGCTGTTTTTAATGGGAATTGGGAAATAGTTTAAATCTGAATGCGTACCAAATTTCGTTGCTTGGGGCGTCACACACAATTCTGATGAGAACGTAAAGCGTTGAAGGTGATAGTGAGCGCTGAGGAATGCATGATTTCTTCATACGTGTCGAGCTTAGAATGTAGTCACTCTCAAGGTCACTTCCCGATACGGTGCACATTAAGCATTCCCCATCGCTGAAGAGACCAATCCTATCTCTCCAGATAATCTATATTCCTTTTCCGAGTTTGCGTCTCAAGAAGGGCCATGAATCGGTAACATCTTCAGAAAATTCGGGAAAGAAATCACACCCTTCAAGGACCACATGGCACCTCCAATACATCTGCCACGCTCAGCCCAAATCAATACGCAGGATGGTTATAAACTGTTGAAAACCACTTTCATCTAAACAATAGAAATGGATTGATTATGCTTTATAAATATGACGCTTTACTTTGCATTCCAAAGAACAACATCAATTCCTGCTTCCAAACTCTATTTTCGCCATATGATGGATCCTTACCGTAGCATAGGCGTTGTGAGTTCAAGATGGCGTATAAGCGATCGTTCATAGCTAAAGTTTACCGTTATTGCCCCTGAAGAAAGGAACATAGCTTTTGTTGCAAAATGCAACACAAGAAATGTAGCCATAGTTCAGTTAGATCCTATGATGAGAGCAGACTCTGGTGTAGTTTTTGGTTTATTTTAGAGAAATTCACGCAGGGATTGGTTAGTTGGTTTACACTGACATTTAATAAGTAATTGGAAAATCACTGTTATTCAGGCATACTCAAACGTGACTGGAGATTCTGGTGGATTTATTTCGTAAAATAAGCTGTAGGCAATCAAAGCTTACAAATAACGTGAATAAAACTAACCAGGTGACCACAAAGCCAAGTTCACTATGAACCAGCGGTCACAACAGAGAAATGCCGCGCGAGGTGCAACCTACCGACACCCGAAAGGACATCACACAATGTTTAAGCAGTTGTGTGAGATGTTTTTGAAATTTTTGGGTAATTTCAATAACCTGCTACGTAATTGATTGTCCGAATGCATCACAATCAAAGAGAGAGTATCCATACCTCAGGATCGAGCAGAATCACCCTCCTCCCGCCTTGGCATTTTTTGGGAGTGGCCGTAATGAACACTAATTTTGTTGCTATGGTAGGTGCAGCTCTCTGTTGGACCACTCGGTTTTGTAGTGCCTATTTGGGCTTAACTAGATGAGTTTAAAAAAATTCCCTAAAGTATAATAATCAACGAAACCTCCGCCACATGTATCCGTAAATTCTCAGCCACGGATATGAAACTGTATTGAATACCTTGTTTTCGCTCTTAGGATGAAGCAAAAATTTCTCATAAAAACGGTCTAAAAAACTACATGCAACTGAAACTAAACTAATTCCTTTTAAAAAATGCACGGTGCGGTCCTTGTTGATCGGTTGTCTTGAGAGGAAGCGTTTCCATCAAATAAACACTCTCGTATCCTCGGAATATGTTACGTCAAGAATGATCCGCCTGAAGGACTAACGTACCACAGCCTAGATGAATCACAGTTGTGCATCATTCTTGGGAGACAGCTTACGATGACTCATCCCACGTTCACTGTCTTGTCTTGAAGCCTGGAAAAAGCACACTTTGAACGCGCACCTATAGCAGACGCACGCCTTTCCCTAGCAACGTTGTATTGTAGAGTCCGTTTCGTGTAGTCACGGGAACATTACATTTTACTGAATAAAGTTAGTCGGCCAGAGGGCTGACGGGAGTTTGTGACATAGACTGATGGAACGGACGTGGGTAAGGACTATATAGCGTGCGTGTCACTACAACTGATTTAGTAGTCGATCAGAGTTGTTTACTTGAAAACCGAGAGACGATATGTGCAAGGGATCGTATAACTTATATAACTGGCTGAATTGGACTGCCTAACATTCAAGTTTTTCCTACTCTGTACAAGTTTAAGACTGTGATAACCAAGAGTGGTGGGTGTCAGTTATGGGCTTCTACCTCCTGCTTTGAAAGTGATCACCTCAAAACAAGATGATAGCCGCCGCTTGTCAGCATAAGCTTAGCTTGGTCGCTGGCTTGTTCGCTGAGCTGTTGTTGTTCGCTGGTTGTGCAACAACCATTAACCCACCGCTACGCACAACTACGCACTGATGCTGTCACCTCGATTGGTGATGAAACGTTTGCAACCAAATGGCCCAGCTCAGCGAACAAGCCAACGACCATCTACGCTACCTGAGCTACCGACATTCTCCTCTATAGATAAGCCCAGCTTCTTTGACCTATGCCTGACATTGTAATTGGGCTCCCTCGTGATGCCTAGATACTAAATGGGTGAAAAACAAAAGTGTTTGGACATTTGACCTTGCACATATGTGCTACGGTCTACGTATTACACTTGTTCCAGGGATAGGCAGCTGAATGGTCGTCCCCACAACACATCTATGGTGACAAGCTGCTACTTTCCAACATAGAAAACAACAGTTCTACTGAAGAAATCGATGAACGCCACTGACGAAGAAACAGATCTTAGTAGCCCTGTAAACCAACGAAATGGAAGTCGCAGACACCAGCAAAATGAAGGATCTCATTAGACAGCAGACAGAGTAGTTGCTTAAGCGGAAAAATGCTAATGAATACCACTTTGTCAACAACATGAACGCTGGTTTTTAGTGGTGGATTATCCACAGGCAGTATTGATTGATTAGGCCGAGATGCGTGGTTTTTCGTATTTACTTTGGATCACAGATGGCAGATGTTTGAAGCACACCAACTCTGGAAAAGTTTCCATTGACAAGAGGCCACTTTTATCCTTGAAAGGAACAATAAAAACATCTGATTATTGTGTAGGAATGATCTTATGTTTAATTAAATGTGACGACATTTGAGACAAAAAAAATCACACGAAATTGTGCCCTACAAAGACTTGGTTCGTAAGGACAGATTTTCCCGAAAACGGCGATTCTGAAGTATGCGGTTAGTCGTGAAAAATTATCAGCCAAGTGATTCGTCTTCGAAATCTTGTTTCGACCCAGGCGAAGAGATTTGGAGGAATTTCGGCTAGTTGAGGATGGTCAAAAGAGAAGCCGTGATTAACAAATGACTGTCCTTTTCCAACGGAATATGCCACGAAATCATTGAAAATCTACGTCCCATCAATAAGATCACTCCAAGACAACGACCAGTTTGGCTTTCCACAAAAGAAATTCTTGCGAGCAAACGACTGTGGCAATAAATTAAAATACAACAGCAACAATCTACGAATAACTTACAGGTAACATGACAATGAAAATACCCATGAACCATACGGATATAAAGGCGGTGCCTCCAACTGGTGCAGAATGGCGGTTGCCAAATTAATCGATAATCAGAGAGTGTAGGCCAGGAAACAGCCCAAAATCAATGGGCTACCTTTTGCTGGATGAACGTATCCCTATTTTTGTTTGTCTGCAATTTCAGCTTCGTAAGTACATCAGTAAAAAAACGGTCATCAAAATGATGTTTTCGCGGCTAAGTCCACAAAAGACACGTTTATTCAGTTGCTGACGTAGGCGAATAGCTGTTTCGCTGACGTAGATGTCACAACCGATTCAGCCGGTTTGGGGTATGACAGTGGAGACCGAATGAGTGAAATCAGCTGCGTTGCTCGCCAAAAATGCACAAATGTTGTCCACGAATGGAATGCACACCAAAGTGGGTTGCACATTTCTGCGGCATTTTGAACACCTAGCAGGCCGTCCACCTTGTTTCCTCTTCACTTCCGCGACATCGACAGGCCAGCCGATCTGTACTTTTAAACCGCGCATCCTGACGATACTTTTGAGTCATGCGCCATGACATATCCAACACTGTCTCTTCCACATGTTTGTATCAATCGTCCCAACCAAGGTTATTGTGCCCTGACATCGTGATACTTAGCTGTACTTTACTGTTTAAAACCACGCCACAGCTAGAAGTTACACGTCCCTACTTTTACCATCAAGTATGAGTCGCTACTCTGTGGATGCTCGAAATAAGATGAGTCAAGAGGGGCCGGTTTCACTAGCTGAGTCTGCCGGCCATGGCATTACTCGGTTCAGTGATTGGATGCTCAAGGAAGACAGCCTGACAGTACCAGACCTTAAAGAACTAGAGTTCAAGGTCATAGAAGTCTGATTAGGGTGTTCTAGCTTAATCGACTCCATTCATCAGCGGGGCTAATTAAGGCGTTAGATATTCATCACCCGCGCAAGACAACGCAGGTGAGTACATTGAACTTTAAACTGATCCGTGTCTTGCAACTACCTTCCACTACTGCGTGAAGTCAATCGATCGTGGCAGATGATCAACACAGTGCTCTGGGCGTCAAGTCCGTGATTCGAAACTGCAGACTGTCTGGCGTCACAATGTCGCAAGAAGCTTTCGGTGATATATTAAATTAACTTAAAACTAGGACCATTAGGCCGTCACTTTTGACCGCATATTTTGGACCCTGGACACCAAATAAATGAGGTCAAACATGCTCTGTGAGTTTTCTTCCTGAAATTTCGTAACATTCTGACTGCAACACAATCTCGGTTGAATGTGTTCCCCATTCAGACTTTTTGACCAGGATTTACTTAGTCATTAGTTTATTCCCTTGTTGTGAATAATACTGAGTAGTGAAGAATGAGGTTGACGGAAACTCGGGAACTGCGGCTACCTGATAAGCCCCAAGAAGGACGAAACCGGTCGTGGGCTGTCGAGGAATTTTCAGCAAACTTGTGAGTAGTTTTCTTTATGAAAATATACTGCGATATCTCGAATATCATGCCAACTGAATCACGAGGCGGCTTGTGTGCAGCTGGAGGACATCATAAACGAGAGATTCAATTGAGTCTCCGGTGAAAACCAAATTGATTTGCAAATGAGTGTATCTCTCGAAAACAATGAGGGAGATTCAGTGACTCCAAAATTCCGACGGCGTGTATCAGCACTCGGTGAGTAGTCGAGTTTTCATAACCTCAAGATGTTGGAGGGGCAAGGCGGAAGGTGAAAACTTATTCACCTTCGTTTACCCCAGTGGCGTGCACTTTTAAAACACCATTGCTAGTATTTGATGCTGTAACCTGAACAGTGCCTAGTATTTGTGTCCTATTCTCAAGTTATCTGCCACAAAACACAGTTGGCAGACAGTGTTGCACGGTTCTTCGTGATCTAACCGAACAAACACATTTGACATGCTCAATTTCGTACTAGCGTTATTCGCTTCGAACGGATCGAATTGAGGGGTGACAAAACGCAATATCACTGGTCACCGAATCATATTCTGTGGCGTTTTCAGAACCACTATTTGAGAACAGCAAGTTATGTATGAATGACCATAACTGTTCCCAGATATCCCTCGAATCATGGGAAAAATAATAGATTTCAACACATTCTCTCCAAGACTACAGTCACACACTGTCAAACATATTGTTAGGTCTTCCGTGCCACGTTCCGAATGATCCTGAATGATTTATGACACTCAATGCTCATCAAACGACAACTTAAGCGCAATGATGGAATGTTTGTGGCCGAAACTGGTCAAGGTCAATCATGCTGCGGTGACAAACTTTGCCGTTGTTCTCGTCTTAGCTAACGAATTGTGCTCAAATCCCCCAAAAATGGTACATACCAATGATGAACGATCTGTGTTTATTTGTCGGCAGATAATGAGGATGAGTAGAATTTTCATCGAGTGCATTTTCTCATTTTGAATGCTATACTATTGATTCTACGATGCTATGACATTGTACGGAGGTCACAGTAGACGGCGGTACGATCAAGTGAATGCGAAACATATAAATCTCTCTTTTTTATATCTTCTACTGATCAAACAGGAATTTGAAAAACTGACAAAGTGCAAAAAGCGCTTGGCAAATCCTGAAGCCTCTACACATTTTGGGCGTATTCTCCGTTTCACTGAAGATCCCCTACATTCCAGTGACTTTGACGACCCCGAGACGGAGATGAAGCGTCTTCCTAGATGTGACGAATTAGAACAGGCCGGTGAAGTATCATCCAAACGAACCGTGGCACTTAATGAGATGTCGCGGAAGTTCATTTTTGCCCCCAGTCCTGCATACGCACATCCAAGTTGGACAGAGCAAACACGACTCCAGGAAACCGAATCACACTGTCTCAGGGAAGAAACGCAACTAACACCAAAATTTCAGGTTCGAAACTGTTTGGTCGTCTCAGGAATTATTTCGTAATCATAAAGAAACTCTGCCGCCAGACCAGCTTGACATTTGAATGGCCACAAAGTCGCGATTCTAAATGGTTTGGAGATTTTTGGTCTCCACAAATTAACCAGATATAACGCATGTTGGTTAGGAGTTCTTAGGAGTAACAAACCTAGGGAGAGTAAATTATGGGGAGACAGGATTCAGTCAATTCGTCCCACATCTCAGAAAACCTCTTCCGTTTCTTGAAAAAAAAATGCAAACATAGAGTTTGAAGATCAGGTGCATCATGTTGGTTAATGAAATTTCCGATCACGAGCGCGTCTCCTACGTAAGAACATCACACGATCGACTTGAAAGAACCAGCAAAGCACGTCTGGTAAGCGGAGTGGTAAAAACACCCATGTACTTCCAAACCTGATCGATTACTTGCTCAAGATCAACCAGTCTCTTCATATTCATTTAAAAAACTTGCCCATAACTTAAGCTGGAAATGTACAGCTCATTTCATCCCAGCGTCAGCGCCCGCTTGCCGCCGGATAGGTCAAACCACGAGTTATACGCATGAGACGCGCTAACAACAATCTATCTCTTATCTTGGTAACTGACTGTGCTGATCTTCCTTTAAATGTTTATTTTTAGTTGTACGGGGGCTGTGATATTACCAGGGCGCTCACACCTAGACAGGAGGACGATTAGGGTCCTCAACCAAAGCCTTTGGCTCAAGAGCTGTTGTCTGTGAGACTTGGCCTATTCGAGCAGCGCAACTGAGACGTCTTCAGGTGCTCGACGATCGTTGTCTCAGAACCATAGCTCATGTGGGTTGGTGTCGGCGAATCCGTAACGAGGCAGTTAGAAAGCGTGTTTTCGGTTGTGTAACGGGTACTTCCATTGAAGAATGTGTCCAGCACCAGAAGCTGCTTTGGTTGGGACGTGTGTTGCGTATGTCGAACCATCGTTTGCCGAAGAGAGTGCTCTTTTCCATGCCCAACTCAGAGTGGCGTAAACAGAGAGGTGGCCAACCCATGACCTGGCAGAGGAGTATGAAGGAGATCACGAAACGCTTGGGTGCTGTCGGTGCTACTCGCCTTCCAGGATGGATACCGCGTGATCCTCACTGTGCCTGGTTGGAGACACTACAGGATATGGTTGCCAACCGATGTCAGTGGCGTTTTTGTTGTCAGTTTCTATCCAGATTGCCTGAGTGAATGTCTGTAGGTTTAGACACCTCGGAATGATTGTGGTAAGCTAGCACTAGGTCCTTTCTCCGTCCACCTTTATTCTTTTCTTTACAATAAGGCTTTCAAATAAGTCATGGTTGTACGGCAGTGAAGCATCAGTGTCCAACACTTATGTCGTGTTGTCGATTATTATTATTATTAGTAGTAGTAGTAGCATTATGATAAGTGTTTGCCATAGTTTCGTGCTCTAGTTTGACCAGTAATGTGATATCCTTCATTTCCCAGGTGTCCAGCAACTCACAGAAAGATCTGCATCAGGTGGAACCCAATAGTTTGCTAGAGGATGAAATGGCTCCAGCTTCACCTGATGCATCCCAACATCAACGTAAACGATCACCCAGTTCCAGTATCATGATCCCCCAACCAAGTGTTCACAAGGCCCCGACGATTCTGAAGTGGACCAGTCCAAGTGCAAATCTAAGATCCTCCACCCTGTGTTCAAATGCAAACCACGCAAGGAACCGTCGTAGTCGGGTTGTCTTCTCGAGAACGGTAATGGTCAGTAATGGCTTGGAAACGACCCAGCTTAACTGTCCCTCCGAAACAGATGATGAAGACGACTCTGATTTTCATCGAGCCTGTCCAAGATTAACTCTGGATGACATGGTTATTAACAGAACCAGTGAACCATGGCATTCAGCTTCCAGATTCGACACAAAAAGCTGTAAACAATCCTCTCGACAACACAGACGGTTTCTCCGCGCCTTGGAGACATTCACAAGACCAGACAAATCCCAAAGTCCTTTCTATAATTATTTAGCGGATAATTCTACTGATCTGATGGTTTCCGAAACTGAAAAATCCACTCCAGTTGTACAGAGGCCACGGCATCACCACAACTGTCAGGCCCTGCGACAAAACACCAAAGTGATCACTTCCCCTGCTGACGTCATGTTTGGTTCTTTCAATTAGGCGGGCTGATTTCAGAACGACTGTTTGTCCTGTACCTCAGTGTCCTTCTAACGATCTTCCTTGCAATTCTTGCCTTAACTGGCCCCCAGTTCTGCGTGATATGCTATTTGCCAGAGCAATAATTTCTGACAACCCTCACCCGCTGTTGTACATTTTATAATCCGTTGGAAACCGTAACAAACCAAGATGAAAACGTACGGTACTTGGTTTCAAGAAGAGCAGTTGTTTATCTTCTAGAGACAGCTGATGTGCAAGTCTGTTTTTTCCATATTTTTAATGTCACCTAAGACAGTCCAAATTTTCGGATGTTCGCATGCATGTTTTGTTAGTCAGGACCAAAGGCATCACTTGGCTCGACTCATGAAGGCTTCGCCCAAAGGCGAATGGTACCACGTATCCCGACATCTTCCTCGTTCCACAGCCATTCAAAGACGGGAAGTCTCGTTCTAAGTATCCATCTTGTCAAGCTTCAGAACACACCATATTTCCAAATCGTAAAAGCAGTTGCGTCAACAAAATAGTACTTTGTCTCACTTCGGGAAACCTTTGTACTGTTTGTATGATTGGTTACTTACAAATACTCATTCAATACAGTAAGAATCATCTAAGGTAATCATGATGAGTCCAGCAAAAAATGATCGCGCCAGGTAACTGCTTCAGAAAGCATTTGCATGTGGTAGAGCCTGTTTATGCTTGAATTTAAGAGGTCCTGGTGACAAAAGGATACTTTTGCTTGTTGGTTCTACCAAAACTGTTGAAACTCTTACTGTGAGTGGTTGTGCACAACCACTAACCCACAGCTACGCACAACAACGCACTGATGATGTCACCTCGATTGGTGATGAAACGTTTGCAACCAAATGGCCCAGCTCAGCGAACAAGCCAACGACCATCTACGCTACCTGAGCTACCGACATTCTCCTCTATTCCTGAAACTGGAAACTTGTTTTGTATGATTCTAAGTTGTTAGTTTTTCCTTGGCAAGGTAACGACCATCTCGCTACCTGAGCTACCGACATTCTCCTCTATTCCTGAAACTGGAAACTTGTTTTGTATGATTCTAAGTTGTTAGTTTTTCCTTGGCAAGGTGGCCGATGTAAGGCTCTCACGAACTTCCCTGCTGAATATATCCGTAAATTTTATGTAGCCAAAGCACAAATAATTGTGTTAAGAAATTTCAAAAAATAAGGCATTCGCTTGGCTGCTGATGAGCCCTAGTACAAGAGAAAATCAAGTCGAGTGTTGTGAACTGAATAACTGGGCCAGAACAGAAAAACTGCCCAAACTGTTCTACCGGTTTCGCAGCCAACCACAGGTATTCAGTAAGCGCACTTAAAAAAACCCAGTCCACATCAACCCCAGAGGTAGCCAGGGTTCCTACCTATCTACGGTCACTTGGTACTGTTCTCCAAGGGCCTAAAACATACCGCTGTCATGCCTATGGAGCTAACGATCACACTATATGCGGTTCGATTTCTCGCCACCTTGTGGAAAAGTGCAGTCAAGTGCCACAGCTAGGACACATGAAACTGGGTAGGAACGGTAGACTGAACGGTAGACTGAAGCTGCTACCCCTCTTGGTGTGCGCCAAGGAACACTTTAAAATCATGTGTTGTCTCCCATGTTCATGTAGCGACGGCTAAAGCGTGTACCCAGGTGGAGCATCAAGAGTGCTCGACCCGCCACCATGTGCGTGCCAACGATCGACGGTCAACATGGATCTTTCGGCGAACAACGTTACATCTTCACACATGGTTTTCTGACCGCGTTGTGGCTAGCCAACTGAGAGTTATCTGTGATTGTCATCTAATATCCGTGTTTGTAACAGCCTCCCTGTCCGCATGCCATCATCCTTCGACACAAACTTTTTGACACTGGCAGCCATCAACTCCATATCCAAAGGGATTTTTCGGCTGTCATTCCGAACACATATGACAGTACCATCCTAAAACTGCCCCGAAACGGGTAATGGGATGAGAGCAGACACGACGAACGACCGAAACATTCTCCATAGTTAGAACAAGCATGCAGTGTGCGAAAATTTGACACTTATCACACGTTCATATTTTGGACTAGCCGACATTCTAAATGGAGAGAAAAGCTAATCAATCCTCTCAATCCAGAGACTTCTGGCTATGGTTCATACACCTAACGCTCGAACTCTCCGAAACGTAATAAGAGTAGGTGCATTTCTTCGAGGCGAAACCATGAAGCAAACGGTCGCTTGTAACATTTATTCACAGATTTTCTTCGCAAAGTTATTCGGTGATAGCAAAAGAAATATTAGAAATTACGGGGAATCTATTCTCATCCTCACAACTTAATCTGGGTAGCTGTAAACTTGGCTGCTTTATCCAACCTTCTACTCGCGCTTCAGCTAAGTACAGGAAGAAAGCATGCCGTGTTGGAGATTATGGTGAGATCCACAACGGAAGGCGACAGGGTGATGTGGAAACACTGAGCAAAATTTTGCATACCTAGGGCTGACCAATACGATGTAGTCCTCAAATACCTGTTAAAGCGTTTCTGGTATGAATGAGACTCAGATAGGTTTGATGGTTGTCCGCTAGGCTAATCAGTTTCGTCGCAAACATTCCGACATGAATCGGGACGACATAATCAACGATTCGCAATTTAGGGGTCTATAAGCCTAACCACTAATAGATCTATGATATCCTGAAAATCCATCACGTCTGAGCTGACATCTTTCACAAAAAGCGAAATCATATGGCGCGCCTGAGGGTTTATTGGCAGACACGATTGGATTACATTGTTCTTTTAAATATCGTCCATCATTTATGCTGATTCGTCAGTTGCCAGAAAAGTTTACATGGGAAATCCAGTTGTTTTGGTCAGATACGCTACCATAGAGGTGGTTGCCGATGGACACCAGATTACAGTAGAAAAGCAAACCAAACACGCTGATAATCTGAAACAGCACGAGCAACATAGTTTGATGTAGGAGTTGGATCAAAATACAGTGACCCCACAACGCCTCAGCCCCTAATTCTACTGCATTTGGTTGTCCCCAAATTATCATTGGTTCTAATCCGACTGGTCGGCGAGATGGCTCGGTGGATAGAGCGCGAATTTGCCGACCGGAAGGTCCGTGGTTCGAACCTGACCTATACCTCTCGACTTCCCCTGTCTAGGCTTTGGCACTTTGGCAGTATCCCAGCCCCCCAGTATCGTGCTCTCCTCAGGTAGCATGGCAGCTGGGCGCCGGAAGGTTCTTACAGCCGAACGTTCTAATCCGACTAAATAAGGCCGCATTTTATGGAACCATGTTGGACAGGGAGCACCAATGACGCCAGCGGAAGCAACTCTTTTGATTGTAGAAGTACGTTTTAAAGTGATGTACTTCAATGGTCATATATCGGGGAAAGATAGACTGTGGAGCGATTTAACAGCCATCAACGGCTGGATCGTAGAATTCAAATCCCATTGCAACACATGCGGATGTGATGACGTGGAGCAAACGACACATCAGTCGACGTAGTAATCTCCTTGGCAGAATGAGTTCAACTCATCTAGCTGGAATGGTGGTGTGCGATACGGACTTAAATGTAGGGGTCAGGATTGGAGGGCGAGAGAGGTTCTCCAGTAGGTTCCCCTAAGTTTCACTGAAGCCGCCAGGTTTTCGAATCCAATGGGGCTACACAAAGTTGACCTGTCAGTTAACAAAATGTTAATTTAACATAGTCTGGTTATACTCTCTTCAGTCTCCAGAAACCAAGCCTATCTTTGGTCTGAGAAATCTATCTATTTCCTTGACGGAACATACTACTCGTAGGGTTGCTGAAGACTATTCGACGGCCGGTTTTTTTCCTTTTGGGGTTCACCACATAGGCACAGTCCTACTTGAAAAACAAATTGTACGCAATAAACGGGATTGGCAGATCTCATCAATGAGAAAATTCCTTCCTTGTAATAAACGGATATTATGATGTTGAGGAGAGCCAGGGTAAACTGGCTGCCACTAGGTATTTGAATGTGCTTTCACAAAATCTCTCAAAAAACGGACATCTGACAGTCAGAGATGTTTGGATTTCCCCGATGAGTGTTCCTTGTATAGGGGTAAATGTCCAGTTGACGGCAGTTGATAAAAAGCGAATTAGCAAGTACGGGCCTATGCACATTCAAACAAATCATGATAGTGAGATAGGTCTATTGTGTACTACGCAGGTGGGCTTTCTATGTTTGACTCATCGGCAAAGCAAGTCACTGATCTACCAGAGCTCTTTCATTCAGTCCTTTAGTTTTTCCATCTAGACCACACTCCGATGTGTCAAGTCTATGTAGATGACAACAAAACAAAAGTGAAGGCTAGAGCGAGAAATGTGTCCGTAAAACTATCAGAAGGGAACTTCACTTCTGTAGTATGCTATTACGCCCCGCTTTTCATCAGTTACAATCGGCGTCTGCCCGGTAATTTTGCAAATCCAACACGTGGGGGGATGAACGACGCTTTTCGTAGCGAACTAGTTACGCTCGAAGTCATAGTTCCCGCCCTTGTCGCACAAAACTGACCGAATTAGAGCTACCGGGTGGAAAGAACCTAGCAACAAAAAAGCATGGTTGACCAAACTGTTTGGGTTCGCGCATAAAAACTATGGGTGTATTTCCGTTTCCTTATCGATTAGCGGCTGTCGCATCCAGTAAGGGAAGATGCACCCTCGCCTTGAACACTTATTCGCCAGTCCGTTTAACTGCACCAGCATAGTTTTCAGTGTACACATAAGAACCATTTGGTTCAGCTGTGTTTTTTCAACTCCTAACGGTAAATATCTTAAGGGCATGTCGCTGACAGAATGCTAGCTCATGTCATAATCCAACCATCAAAGCCATGATTTATCGTGCCAGTTTTTTCGTAATAAAAAAAGGATTGCGCGTGGATAATTGGCGAATGAATCAGGTAACAAAACAGAACTTCTGCCGGCTGTCATGCACACCTGGGTTGCCGGGATGATCATAATACACCTCACACACCGCGTCTACCAAGTGGAGGTAGGCGTACAACACTAACAGAACGGTTTTGCACTCCGTTAGAAACCCCAGTGGTATCCAATATCACTGCTTTGACTTAAAATTGCGCCCACAATTTTCAAATCACTGATGTGAATGTCAGGACGCGCCCAGATGTGGAAAAAGCACACGTGCAGAGTGACGCGTCCCCAAGGTCACCATCCGCACAGCACTTTTCGGATAGCAGGTGCGTTGGCGGAGCCCGCCAAACATGGCTTATCAACATAAGATCAGTGCAGTGGGGCTGAAATTGTTCACCACCAGAACACCCCCATTGGCTGTACAGAACGAACAAGTGAACGACCATATTTGGCCACTTAGTCATCCTATATATTTGCGCAGAAGCTCTGTATGTTTTGTCCTGACAATACAGCCGCGTCCAGGGTTCTCTGTCTTCTCCTTATCGCGTAACCTGGCATGCTCAGTGCAGGCGCAACCAATAGACGGCCACCCACGATACAACGGAGAGGTTCCCTTGGCTGTGTTCTGTGACGTCGCTTGGTTTACCTAGACAACGTTACTCCGCCAGGTAAGAGCAAATGACCAGCGAAAAAAAACGATGCAAATTACTCGCAATGAATAGCACCGGAACCTACCCATGCTGGTTTGAAAATTATGTGACTGCTACGGGTCAGTGAACAAATTCAGGAACCAATAAGCAGAGATAAGTAAATAACACTGAAAGTGCAGTGACAAGACATACAAAGTGATATACAAATGACCTGTCAAACGTAAAAAGTCGGTAACCCACACACGGAGCGACAGGGGTCTGTTCGGACAAGGAAAGTAACGAAAGACAATAAATGGACATGGTGACCAAATCAGTATCTGTTGCTAATTTCGTCAAGTTTCAACAGCTTGTGTCCATTCTGAACCAATTCAGTCAGCGTGACCCTGCCGCGCTTCTCAATGAATTCGGCCACAGCATTGTATTCCTCGGGAGTGATATGGACAAACTTGCCTCGATCGTCCAATAAACCCGTAAGCTGACCAGAAGCAAGCAATTGTTTCAGGCGCTCCACACAAGCCTTCGAAAAATAGAGAGAGATATCCATTGTTAACGACGAAAAAGAGCATACCAGGAACCGGCAGAATACCAATTAAAAAGATTGACAATATGAAGTTAGTTCGAGACTTCCGAAAGGGTGTTGACTTTTCTACGGGATAATGATCAACTCTAATAACGAGGGAGCATGGAAGGATTCCTTATACTTAGACCTTTTCGAAATCACTCATTATTTGTCTTATGAGGAAAGTACGCTTCGACTTTACCACGCTATTGACGTCAAAGGCAGCTTGAGGATGTGCAAACATGAGCTGAATTCAACTCGCGACTCCTCAGTTCTACTATATCTGCTAATTCGCCAATCTGAGGTATCTGCTGCTGACCCTCTCCAGGGCCTAGTGCCGGAGTAAAAGACTCACAGAAGGGAACACAACCGTATTATTCCGAACAAGCGAGCGTGAGTGCGTGCAAGTGCGAAAAGTACGTTCTCAAGCTATTTATTGGAAGGACACTGTCTGAATTTAGTCCACTGCTGACGCACACGGTCTGGCTTTGGTACAAGGCTGTGAGGTGCTGCATATTGCGGGGGCGTTGTCTAACCTTGATCAACGCTGACTCGCGCTGTCTGGGTTTGATACAAGGCTGTGACGCGCTGCATGTTGAGGGGTGTTGTCTGTCAGGTCAACATCTAGCGGAGCTGAGACAGTCGGTAGATTTCGGGGATTCAGTGGATGCTTTCAGGAAGTGACCTTCCTGATAGGTTCATATCCCAAAAACAGGGTAGCAAAGATACGTTGATAAAATCAGGACAAGTGTTGCTATCTACGGAGATGATTCATCGCCAAATAACTTGATAGCATGGCGAGTAAAAATGACCAAGAATCCAAAGAGCTTAAAACGATTCACTTGGATACTTAGAATGTTGGCCACGGGACCACGTCCTTTAGCTTAAGAATCCCTGTTGTTAAAAAAGCCCGCAAAAAAGGGTCACAAAACTTTTTGCGAAATATACACACTGTGTGACTAGTTGGCACCCTGATACGTGACCGAAGAGACAGGTGTCCCTGAAGGTAAGCAAGGTCCTCTGAACTAACCACAATATAAGTGAAAGTACTACAGTAAAAGGGAACTAGGGACATGTAAAATACTCGCACCAGACCAGCTGCTTTTTTGAGGACGCATCCGCAACTCCTGCACAGAGAGTGGAAAATTGCATGGTAGCAGACACGTAGTTTTCGCCAAAAACATGTACATTCAACAGTAGCCTATAGCTCTGTCCTGTTTGTTGGCGTCCTATTCATGGCCACAAATAGTTTGAACTTGTATACTTACGTACCGATGAGCTCCGTTCGTTTCGGCTGGTTTGCTTACTTAGCTAACCAACCTACCACTTAGTGATTGCTGTCACACACGAACAAGAGGGTGGCGATCGATTGAGAGGAATTGATAACATGAACTGGTCTGTCAGACAAACAAGTGAGTGTGGAGGAAGAAAAACAAAGCTCAAACTGTTTACCAAATTTTCTGAAGACCTGCTTTAAACCCGACAGGGTCTTGCTTTTACCACAAAAAAGCGAGTATTCTCGTCTGGGATGGTAGTGCTAATAGAGCGGGTAGCACATTCAGACCACATATGCTGGTTGCCAGTTGATGTAACCATCCGAACACTCACTGCTCGAACCACTAATACCTGCACTTGGAAACCATAAACAGGTCCCTGTCCTCTAGAAATACACTCATTAGCAAATTGATTTGGTTTTCACGAGAGACTCAACTAAATCTCTCGTTTATGATATTCTACAATTGAATGTGCTGCACACAGGCCGCCCCATATTTCGATTGGCACGATACTCGAGATGTCGCAGTGTGTTTTCATAAAGGAAACTACTCACAAGTTTGCTGAAAACTCTTCGACAGCTCACGATTTTCGTGAGCTTCGCCCTTCTTGGGGCTCATCAGGTAGGCGTAGTCCCCAAGTTTTCGTCAGACTTATGTTCTACTTGAAGAAGAGATTCAGTTGAGTCTCTCGTGAAAACCAAGTTGATTTGCAAATGAGTGTGTTTCTCAAAAGCAGTCCAATTTGGGTTCAAGTAGAATATAAGGTTGACGGAACCTCGGGTACTGAGCCTACCTGATGAGCTTCAAGAAGGCTGAAACCGGTCGTGGGCTGTCGAAGAGGTTTTAGCAACCTTGTGAATAGTTTCCTTTATGGTCCCTGTCCTGTTCACCATCCCAAATGGTATAGGCTTTGGCACATAAAATTTCCCGTGGATGAACAACAGTTCAGGTTTTCGACCACCGATCGGCTTTGGCACATGAAATTTCCCGTGGATGAACAACAGTTCACTAGGCGCGAAAACTGAAACAGGTTGATAGCTGTTTCGTAACAGAATAAATGAATCCAGCAATATTGTACCGATCGTCTTAACGTAAACAAGGATAGGATGTTTACTTGCCAATGTTAAGGGTATTCAACCGAGTTGTGCTCACCGTCAGGTTGTTTGGTCCGACCAATACAAAGCAGAGCGAACTATTTTACTCTATTTTATCACATTTTATAAGTGAGGTCTAACCTCAGCACGATATTCATTTGGATAGTGGCGCCATCAAACTGGCACAAGTCGAAGTCGTGAGGTCCGAAAAAGATTAGCAGGAAAGGCTTCCGCACCAACCGGATAGGATAGATCTGCAAAGCCATTTAAAGATTAGCGCTCTTCTCCTGAACTTCTGGTAATGTTCGAGGTTTTGGAACCAATGGGAAGCGAAATGTAGTGTCTTAAAATAACACTTTCCGAAGGTAAGAGCGTAGCTGTGAAGGTCTACAGACTGCAAAACATTAAGTAAATTGGGCGAGGGAAAGTCCCGTGTACACATCTTGTTAGAGGATTTGTGATACAATAGGATGAAGACAAGTTTCACATCATTCCACACTCGTCCTTTCGACTAACCTCCGTTTTAATGTTAAAATTTAGGGCCAGATGTTCGACTGGAATGATCTTTGCTTCCCGAATGGCCGCAATCAATTGTGAATTGAATTCTGCTTCCGCTTGGCTATCGCGCTGGATAACTTCAGTGCCTTCCTCTTCTACGCTGAATTCAGTTTTCATTTTTTCATATTCCGCTTGCTCACGGGCAGCCTCCTCCTCAAGACGCTTCGCCTCTGCAGCAGCCTGGAACATTTAGCAGAAGCGACAAACAGATAACTGGAACTGAATAAAAGCGAACACAAGACAGCTGGGAAGTAACTCAGATCAGAACCAACGGATGAATAGACAGTGTGGAAAATCTTGAAAACCTAACGAAAAGCGGTCAATTGAAAGGAGAACATCATCATTAATAATACTAGTGTTGGAAAGCAGTACTAGCTTGGCGCTTAACTGCCATTGTGAAAAAATGAGGCACAAAAGGGAAGGGGCGCTGATCCGTTATGCATTTTCAAGTTTGGAACCTTTGTCAAGGAATATGAACATCCTACACTGGAGTCGTGGATGGCTGAGAACCGATATCATCAACGCTTCTACATACATTGAGATAACACTATTGAGGTGCAATTCGTACTGATCAGGTTGAGCAGAGTACCGCAGAGTAAGTGCGAAGCACTGTCAGTAAAGACATCCAATCAAAAACATCGAGAAAGGCCGAGTAGTTTCTGAAGGGGGTAACTCAAACACGAAAGTTGAGGTGAAACAGCTCGCAGGTTGATGTAGCTTGATCACATCGGTCGGATGGCGGTTACTTGATAAAACCTCAGCGGCGTTGGCAGTCATCGTTTTCCTGCCTCAAGAATGGAAAGTATCGATTGTTAGAAACACTAACATGGTTTGGTTGCGCATCCAATGTGGTTAGTGAATTCGGAGCTGAAGTCTCTAATGCACGGCTATTGGTCCAGAGCTTTCTACGAATAACCAGTGCTTATGACTCCCCTTAGATGCATCACTCAAAAATAACAGCTATTGTGTAGGTATCCAGCCCTACCTCTCACAAACGAAACTATGACATTTAAATCGACAGCACTACACCGACATTGCTTGTAAATACTGACGAGAATAAAGAACAACACTACACCGATGAGAACTCGTTTCTAGGGGGGAGATTTCCTAAATTAACTACACAGTCGATTGCTGACATTCTTCAACTGAACCACATGTAAATTCCATACAACATGTACTAACGAACTATGATACGCGTTGTGTTCTTTGAAACTGTTTTTTAACCAAAGATCGTTGCAAGAAACCCAGTCAACCGGTGAACTACAGTTTATGAAGTAGGCGAGTAACCAAGTAGCAATCAATCAAATCAATTTATCAGCTATAAACCGTGCCATAGGCACAATGGTTTCAGCTACCACAATTTCGACCGCCGGAAAAAGGGAGTGTGAGGCATATAGCCAAGCCTTGTACGCGATGGCGCATTTGGTTAGTTCGGGAACTGGGTAGCTACGTAGTAAAGGCGATAGCTTTGATGCATGAACGTCACAGACTGTATGATTGGGCCACATTCAGAGAGGCGGCAGTTGTCGGTCCGATTAAGTTTACTAGCTAGTGTCTTCATAATTCCTTCCCAAGTCATACACTGTCCACCTCTTGGTCACTTTCACTCAGCAGAGAGCCAGACAAAAAGAGCTCTGCGAGGTAAACGGTCCTCTGGCATGCGGAGCACACATCCTAACCAGCATAGCCCACGAAGCGTGAGTAATTCACCCGTCGCGAGAGAGTTCCTCTTTCCTAGGACCAACTGGTGAACCTTAGCATTACTGATCCGATGTTCCATCAGATCTGACCAATGCTTCGGAGATACCGATGCTCAAACACTGACATTTTTCGTATGTCTTCTGCACGTAGAGTCCACGCCTTCGATGCATAAAGCAACAGGGTTCGCACCGCTGCAGTGTAAACTTTGCCACTGACAGACAAACTGACGTCACTTTGGTACCATAGGTGTCAGAACTTGGCAAAAGCTGCCCTGGTTTTTCTGATCCGAGAAATAATCTCACCTCCAGCAAGTCCACTGGAACTGCCCAGCCAAGCAAATTCATCTATCACATCGATCGACGGTAACCGAGTAGGCAAAAAACATGACAAGACAAAGCCATGCTTGTGTAAATTCGCCATGGTGGCCAGGAGCCCGAGTTAGTCCTCATGATTATCGGTTGTGTGTTACATGTTACCCGTTGTATCGTGTCATTGCCTCCTACGTCGATTTGAGGGAACAATGACTAGTACAGTGGAAGTGCGCATGGGTGCTGTGTTAATGATAAAACAAGCCCCAATGGGTCCAATATCCGTGGGTGCTTTATCCTCCTAATACAACCCCACAAACATCAGCACCTAATGCTATTGCGGACATCTGCAACACGCGTCGGCATGCCCAGTAATCGATCCACTCGGTATACAACCAACACACAAAGGTATCAATCGTTAGACAAGACAGAGGTAATGTGCATTCCGTTGTGGACATACTAAATGTGAACAATCTATTACGCTGAGGGACGACGGTACACGGGAGCTGAAAGAAATCCCAAGCAAATGCAAAGAACCGATATCCCAACAGCTAGTTGGATAAATTGGTAGTTGGGGCACTCAAATCACCCAATCAGATCCCAAAAACTACCACACAAAGCATTTCGGTCCAAGTGGTGCTCATCAGACAGGCCCGGCGGGATGCGTCGCATGAACGGTTGATGAATGGTTGTGAACGGTTACCTTAGCATCAAGCATTTACCGACAGGCTTCAGTGAACTGTAAATCTGACTTAGGAGGTAGAGTACTTGGTCTTCTATTCGGTTGTTGACTTAATCAGGCATTCTGACACCTCATGAATAGTCCAACTCTTTACCTCAACCAGTAGCTCGTATTCAAGGTAATTTTGGGAGATTAGGTAATGTTCACTAGAGATTTCATCCTGTCAGTGAAACCAATCTATGCTGAACAACCGAGGAGCATTGTACAGTTGTTTCATTCTTGTTTGGAATCATTAGCTCATGACAGTCTTCCTGCCACTGGCTCAACAATTTACCGTTTGGCTACTCGTGCCTGATAGTAATGTGATTAGCTCTCACTTAGTAGCCCGTAGTTTACGGAGTGATGGCATCTTGTAAAATTCCAAGGTCATGACTTGGTGGTTGTCAGATCTGCCGTGGAGACTGAGAGGACAAAAGACAATCTAACTAATATGAATAGTGATAGGAGTAAACTAAGAACCGCACCTTTCACACCAATAATCGCTTGAGGCTTGTTTCTTTACGTACGCGTTGAGCAGTACACGCAAGGATACATATACAGGTACTCTATGATCACCCAGCTGCTCCGATAAAACAACAACTTCGACGTAATACGGTATAATGATGGATTCTGAAACAACGGATAACTTACGGCTGCTTTTTCGGCTCGTTCAGCTTCTTCTTCCGCCTTTTTCCGTTTCGCTATCTCCTGGTCTTCGATTTTACGCTGGTGCTCGCGATAACGTTCTTCTGCTTCGCGCTCTTCTTTGCGCCGTTCCTTTTCTGCCAGCTTAGCGGCCTTCTTGGCACCAACTTTCTTCTTTGGTGCACCTTCTGCTGCCGCCGTTGCGTCATCACTTGAATCATGTTCCTCGTCATCTACCCGTTCTCGAACTCGATCTGCAACGTGTGTCGGCTGAACTTGGTTATCCTCGTCAGGAACACGCATGCGAGTTGCTGGTCGCCTGTGAGCAACATTCGGAGCACGTCTGCGGACCCCTCCGGCAGTGGTGGCCGGAAGGTGTCGAATACGATTACCACCTGTACGGGCGAACAATTGCAAAAGGCCACTCATAAACGAAAGGCCTTAAGGTATTTTGGGAACTAGCATGAGGTGTTCAGTCAGTTTTTCCGTGACAGTTTTTTTACGAAAATTGAAAACAGCGCCGCACAAATAATTGCTAAGAATGTCGTTAGGTCGAGTAGTTCGAAACAAAACAAAACAAGGATGTTTGCCGTTCATACCGAGGACGCTATAGTACTCACCGAGATATTCTTGCGCTTGGTGCAAATAAAAGCAACTCGCTAGACGACATTTCATCAGTGAGTGCGTTCAAAAATGTGTTATCGATCCTTTTAGGCCCTCGTATGCTAGGGCCTCCAGAGATCTCATCACATCATTCGGAATATCATGTCACACGAAGGAGGCACGAGGGCTGGGAACTGCCAGGTCGCCCAAGCCTAGACAGGGGATGTCGAGAAGCAGAGGTCGGGTTCGAACCACAGACCTTCCGGTCAGTAAATTCGGGCTCAAACCACTTGGTCCATCTCAACCCGGACTATCAATCCCTAAACAGGATGAGACGGCTCCTTTCAAACAAAAAACAAGTCCAGCCACTCGACGATGGCGTCTTTTTGATGCCTATCCGTTAGGCAATCCGTACTGAGAACCGGACTGAGATAATGCGGACCAAATGCTTCAAACCGATGAATCATGTTTGAAATAAACGAATTCCCCCATTAAGAAAGGATCTTATCAACCCGATTTTACCGCTTAACTTTGTGGCAATCCTATCTGTCCAGGCCACTTAGTAAAATTCATTTGATCAAGAAAAAGCGTTCGGCGGTCATTATAGGGGCCTTCAAAAGAAATTCGTTGGCACACGGTGAGATCGACTCTCCTTAGTAAAGTTCAGTCCGCCCAGCTTGCTGAAGACGCCGAAATTCGCTCCGAATAGGAGGAATCACATGAGGACAAGCGGCCACTTCGAGATTACATTAGGAGAGTGCAGCTGCTGGCCGGGACGGAATTACTCCGTGCACATAAGTAAGCAGAGAAAAGAGTATACTCCGGTCGAATCCGGCCGAAGGCCAAAAACACCAACGTAAACCAATGTACTCTATTCTAAACTGCAAAAGTTTCTACCTTAAAAGTCAACTGGTGCTACCCAGGTCCCTCAAATGACAGGTGTTATAAAAAGTCCTTGACGTAAAAATCAGTCAAATCAAGCAGTTTATCAGCTATAAATCATGTACCATGGGTAAACTGGTTCCAGCTACCATAGATTCGATCACCGGATACTCAGACAGCATGGAATATACAGTCATGCCCCGGAAGCGATGGCAATTTCAGCTAGTTCGGGAACTGGGTAGCTACGCATTGAAAACGACTGCTTTGATGCATGAGCATCAGTAACGGCGCGATCGGTCCATTTCTGCTGTTATTAATCATTGGTCAGTTATGTCCCGGAGGCCACATCCAGGGAGGCGGCAGTCGTCGACGCGACATGGTTTACTAGTGCTTTCATAATTCCTTGACAGTTCATACACTGTCCACCTCGTGGGTGCTTTCACTCAACACAGGATTTGGCGAAAAGAGCTCTGTGAGGCAGACGGTCCTCTGGCATGAGGAGTACATGTCCTAAACAGTGTAACCCATAAAGCGTGAGTAATACATCTACCGCGGGAGAGTACCTTTTTACTAAAAACATCTGGTATACCTCAGCATTGTCAATCCAATTTTCCCACCAGACGCGACCAATGCTTCGGGGACACCGATGATCCCCGCTCTGCACCTAGGGGCTACTTTTCTGATCGGTAAAACAGTATGGATCACTGATCCGGAGAGTGAACTCTGTCCTTGACAGACAAGCTCACATCACGTAGGCGCCAAAGGTGTCGGAAGTTGGCAAATGCAGCCATGGCTTTTCCGATTCGAGAAGTAATATCATCTTCAGCCAGTCCACCGGAACTGCCCAGTTAAACAAATTTATCTAAATCGTCTGCAAACATGAGCTTCGGGTTTGAGGAATACTTAGAACTACTTATTATCTCAGGGCCAACTGGCCTACTACTCTGCGCGGCGGTGTTCGGAGACGTCGATGCTAATCAGTTCTTCCAAAGAATCGTGGTCTGCGAATTTATACTTGATGAGGGCAATTTTTCCACAAGTTTTGGTCACTGAGCGCGTTTTCACGCGTCCTCTCCAAGCGCATCGGAGACGGTTTATCTGGTGGTCGAAACACCCAGGCGAAAAGCCAACCTTTATGGGCACAATTGTCTGTCCATCACATCCTTATTGACTTACATTCCTTGCTGCATACGTCAGTAGAGCATCAAAGTTAAAATTGGCGCTCCTGCCTAGGAGCATGAGAAACGAGATCTATATCCCTATTTTTATCATTTATTTTTGAAGAGCATGGTCACAAACATAAAAAGTGAATGCAAGCGATGAATGCGAAAGAGTAACAGGAGAATATGGGAGAAAAGAGAGAAACGTCTCATTCGAAATCATGCCAAGGACAGTGCCAGTCTGATGAGGTGAATCCCAAAGTATGTAAAGATTTTGGTATGGGAACAGGCGTCTAAAGACTAACAACCAAAGAAAGGACAAACAATGGTGAATGCTCTTCAAGGCGCAGTATGCGCTAGCACAGTCAAGACTCGCACATCAGGCACAAAGTGACCGTCATACTGGGTCTGGGGTGAGATTAAATGGCAAAAATGTACCTTCAGTTCCATGTGCCACGCATAAAAGTGTCATAAGTACGCAGGGAGCCCACAATGGCAAGCAAACACAAGTCACTGACTGCGACCTTAGGAAGTCCCTCGGCAAAGCGAAATGGTTCGACTGAGACTGCTGTTGCCCGATGTTTCCTGTCCCCACAAATAACCATCACTTTAGTCTTTCGGGCGTTTATTTTCATGCCAGCTCTTCCCAACTCGACCGCAGCAGCTTCAAGCTTCTCTTTAAGGCGTGCCTGACTTTCTGCACACACGACCCAGTCGTCAGCGAAAGCAAAACCATCTACTAAGGTGTCATGGAACTGGTATCCCAGTTGCGGCATCGACAATCCAAGAACCTCATCCATTGTCATAATGAATAATAATGGGGAGAGCTTAATTCGACCAAATTATAGCCGTAGGAAAACGTATATGACGGGAAAAAGGACTCTGGAGTGCGAACCACAGTCTTTCTAAGCTCCGAGGAAAGCCCGCGGGATGTGTAAAGCAACAACAGTCCCCCTAAACTGGAAGGGGAATGCTTGAAATCAGCAATTTCACTGGTAATGATAAAAACAAAGTTTTACTTTTTTAGAGGCTAATGGGCTGATTCTGACTGCAATTTAGACACCAATCGATATTTCAGTTAACTCCTGTTTTCAGTGGTTTCGTGAGTGTAATGTAGGAACCTGGAAAACATTGTATGGAAAAATTATCCCCTCTACAAATTCTACCTTCTTACCACACTGATTACAAGAAACAACATTTCGATATCTTCAACACTGTTCCAAAACGAACCCTAAAACAGCTTGCGTCGCATATCCCATTGAAGGATCAAAACATAAACATGCGAACTCATTGTAATCTCGCGTTCGTCTTGGTCGGATATGCAAATGAGCCATAAATGCAACACAGAAGTAACCTCAAAACGTGTTGTAACCAGCCTACGGGAAGCATTTTTGGCTAACCAAAGAATGTTTGTGGAATGTGCCTCCAATAAGCAAAAAAATCCACAGAACGCAATAAACAGCAAGTTATTGAGAATGGTAACCGAAAAATGTGATGTGTTTCGATAGGTAGTCGGGATGGTCGTGTGAGTTGGTGACAAGTAATTTGCAGGTAACTACGTTACATCCAAAACCATCGAGGTAAAACTACAGGGAATCAATAGGGCAAGGTGGAACGAACGATTAGCGAATGCGTGCACATGGACTGAGTTTTTTATTGCTGCTTATCGGCTCAGTCAGTATCGCATGAGCACAGACCGATGGGTTTGACCAATAAAAGTTACCGGAAGTCATTCCACTTTCTGTATATCTATTGAGTAAATGAGTGTGTGGTGTAAGTTTATTTGCTTAGTGGAATGAAGAGTGGTTTAGCGTCTGGTTCCTGTAACGTATACATTCACGGGCGCATCCGGCTTTGCTGAGCTGAGTATAAACTTGATCGTCGTCCACAAAAAATGCATTAGTCACCCACATCCTGAAACGCGAACCTTCAAACGCGGGTGTTTAACCCTCGGATAACAGGTCGACTGCAGCTGAAGCTCGGTGTGACCTCGTAATTTTGGCTCAGTCGCTGGAAAAAACAGCTCTCGTTGCCACCTCTAATCCATAAGTTCATTGGGCAGAAGCTTTCGGTGAGCATAGCACGAGTTATCCGAATGTGAGCCGTGTATTGCTCTGGAAAATTGCTCCAGTTAATTCAAAGCGTACTGTTTGCCTTGCACCCCTAGCGAGCTCATCGGCCACTCAAACGACCACTGACGCTGCATACTGGACGGGATATTCAGTCCAGATCTGAATGAACCCCCTAATCCGATCCTCAATCGAATGCGCACTTTAATGTCTATCTACAACTCAGTTGAACCAAGATTCAAGATTTCGAAGTCTCCACCGAAACAGATACCGAAGTATTTTTCGTTTATTGACAGCGATACATGTAGGATCGGTTTTTCGTTGGTATTGCAGAAGTGTGGAATCGGGTTTTCTTGGATAAGCTACTTGAAACAACCTACATATAAGGTTAGTGGAAACGCCCGGACCGTCTTGGAACCAGTGTCACATCGAAGAAAAACACGCCGATATCTTGACTATCGTTTCAAATAAAACATTGTGGCATACTGAATTAAGGAACGTTGCAATTGACCCATTAACTCTTGGTTTGCGAACAAGCGTCTACCGTCAGGGGGTTGCTCAAACACCGGTTACACCTAACTGTCACAAATTATTAAATAGGAAATCCGACTGTTTAGCAGGATGGTGGAGAACTGTACTGAAAAGGAAAAACGAGTGTAGCTTCTTTAATTTATCTTCCAAAAACAAGCGAAGTTCCATATCCAGCAATGAAGGAGACGATATTGGCGGGTAACGATCGTTGGACGGCTATCGCACATGCAAAAGCTGAATTCCGATTGAAATTCGAGAGCTAGGATGCCTGATAAACCCCAAACAGGACGATACCAAGTGTGAACTTCCCGTAAACTTTGAACAGGTCACCGCTCCGCTTACGGTGAGGTGTTTACATGGTACGCATCAATAATCTGGTTCTTTCGCATAGGTTTTTTCTATAATAAAAAAGGGACCGACGTGCGGAAGTGGGATGACGACTCCTTTTCAAGGGGACCAAAACTAACCCACAGCTGCTGGAGAATCTCGAACTAAGTAACATTCGTTTAGGATTTATTGCATTTGCACTATTTAAGACTACTCCAGAAATAAAAGTATGGACTGGGTCGACGAAAATGTGCCAAGTACTTGTGGAAAAATTCTTAGCAGAAGCCTGAAGGCGAGCTCGACGCCGTCAAGTCAGATGTGGAACAATTCATTCCCAACATAGCACATCATGTGCAGTTCTAGAATCGGAATAGAACCTCACTCTGGACGGACTTGGCATCCCATCTCTGCTTGTGGATAGCGACAATACGGGAGATTAGAGAAGCTCACTCATCTTATCACAAGAGTTATTCTCCATAAGGCAAATGAAGTGAATTGAATGGGAACGTGCTCTCAGTAGTTAGCAAAGCTCAAACCAACTTATCCGTCAATTACAGTCAGAACGGGGTGTCCATCTATCCATTACAGCAACCATTGTCGTTACAACCAAATATTTCGCAAGCTGAGGCAATTCAATGAATTGCAAACAAGTAAGTGATGCGACTAGCCGGTTTGGTATCGCACGTAGACTCTGTGGCAGAAACGGCGGTCCTTCGGCCAGTGGATAAGTTTCGGTAAGATGGGTCAAGTGGCCCTATAGAACCAATGGCTAAGGCACGAGCTGCACTGTGTACATTGCATGCAAGACTGGGGAATGTTCAAATGGATGTACCCAGTGTAGATTTGGAAATGCATGCGAACGGTGCACTTACCTTGCTTCAATTTTTTGTTATAAAATTTCCAAAACAGGTAACCACAAATTGTGCAGGAAATGATGAGGACAGCAAAATAGACAGGCAAATTAACGAAGAACATGGCGAATCAATGACGAAGACCACGGTAGGAGTGGATTTGGTGGCTGAAGTGGAAAAGCGATCGACATCATACGATAAGTACACGACTGACTGGGAGGGTATAAAGCAGATACTATAGTGAGGATAATTCAACGGATGGACGTCACTTACAAAAAGGACCTTCGCGACACCAAAACAACGATAAGTCATCATCATCATCATTGGCCCGTCTCCCCCATCCAGGAAGACGGCAGTGACCAGCGCAGCTGAGTTTGCTGGTAATGGCTTTCATACTTCGCTGCCAAGTCATTGTATTGTTGCCTCTGGCTCTCTTCCACCCTTCACGTGGTTGTGCGAAAAGAGCCCTTCGAGGAGGTCGGTCGACTGGCATTCGCAGCACGTGGCCAAGCCAGTGCAACTTATGCAGTGTGATCAGTTCATCTATCGAGGGTGAGTTATTTCTCCCGAATACCATTCGACGTACTTCAGAATTGCTGATCCGGTGTTC